GCATTCATGTATGGACACCCGGATGGTTAGTTTGATGTGTAGATGGATGGATTCATGGGTGGTGGACAGCTGTGTGGGTGCGTGGATGGCTGCATGGATGAATAGGTAAACGGCTACATAGACGGATACGTAGAGAGCTGTATAAATGCATAATTGCATGGTTAGTTAGGTATATGGATGGGCAGATGGATGGTTAGTTTGATGTGTAGATGGGCGGGTTCATGGTTGGATGGGAAGCTGTGTGGATGCGTGGATGGCTGCATGGGCGGATAAATAGGTGACTGCATGGGTGGCTACATACGTGGAGAGCTGTATAAATGTATAATTGCATGGTTAGTTAGGTATATGGATGGGCAGATGGATGCATGTATGAATGGATGGATGGATGGATGGATGGGTGTATGGATGGATGGATGGATGGATGGATGGATGGATGGATGGGTGGATGGATGGATGGGTGGATGTATGTATGTATGTATGTATGTATGGATGGATGGATGGATGGATGGATGCCTGAATGCATGGATGGGTGAGTGGATAGACAGGTGGATGGAAAAGAGGATGAGGTTAGTGTTGGATATGACAACAGAATAATTGGGTTGCTGCAGAGTGGACACGGGGTGGATGCATTGTTTAACATTGTTGGATGGAGGCCTGACTGGCCAGTAGGATAGCCTGCTATGAGGACAGTCTGAGGTTAGGGATGAGTTCTACATCAATACGGGGCTAAGACCAGGGATAACTAGGGGGTTTAGACTCTCACTGAGACCTTTAATCCCAGCACTCGGGAGGCAGAGGCAGGTAGATCTCTGTGAGTTCAAGGCCAGCCTGGACTACATAGTGAGACTCTGTCTCCAAAAACCAAAACAGAAAGGAGAGGGGGGAGGAGAGAGAGACAGAGACAGACAGACAAACAGACTGAGAATTTTGGCATCAGGAGGAACTTTGAGGGATCTTCTGGGGTTGTAGTGGGAATGCCCGGCATTGGCGAAGCCCAGGGTTTGCTCCCCAGCGTGATGTAAACCAGGGGGCATCGGTGCACATGGGTGATCCCAGCACGTGGGAGATGAGGCAGGATATCTATGAAGGTCATCCTCGGCTGCAAGGTGAATTTGAGGCCAGTCTGGTCTACCCTGTGTCAGAGAGACAGAGAAGTGGGGTCTGCTGGGAATCTGGAGGGATCGATAAAGGGTGACTGGTCTCCATAACCAGGCGAGTCCGTGGAGCCATTGGATGACTCTGGGAGCTCTGGGTTCTGGACTCTCGAACCTTACGAGTTAGAATCATCGGGAATCGAGAGGATGGCAAAGCGGAGAAAGAGAGCCTGTCCTTCTTCCTTTCTCCCCAACACCAGGGTCTCCCGGAGTTGATGGCGAAGCGGGTGGTAGCCCAGCTGGCGGGAGCCCTGGACTTCCTCCACGGCCGGGGCCTAGTGCACGCAGACGTCAAGCCGGACAATGTGCTAGTCTTCGATCCTGACTGCAACAGGGTAGCCCTCGGTGACTTGGGTTTGACCCGACCCGAGGGCAGCCCAACCCCCGCGCCACCAGTGCCTCTGCCTACCGCGCCACCGGAACTCTGCCTCCTGCTGCCGCCAGACACCCTGCCCTTGAGGCCCGCTGTGGACTCCTGGGCCCTGGGGGTGCTTCTCTTCTGCGTTGCCACGGCCTGCTTCCCCTGGGATGTAGCGTTGGCCCCCGATCCTGAGTTCGAGGCCTTTGCCGGTTGGGTGACCACTAAGCCCCAGCCCTCTCGGCCGCCGGCACCGTGGGACCAGTTTGCACCTCCGGCTCTGACCTTGCTCCAGGGTCTTCTGGACCTGGACCCTGAGACTAGGAGTCCTCCACTGGCTGTCCTGGATGTTTTAGGGGATGACTGGGGGCTGCGGAGGAGTGCAGAGGCATCTGGGAGCTTGAGGGGTGTGTCCGGTGAAGATGGGGAGGAAGAAGAGGGAGGATCGAGTTTGGAAGAGTGGACAGAGAAGGAGGAGGAGGAGGAAGATGAAATTAAAGATGGTGGGAGAACGGAGACGGACAATAGAGTTTCCTGACCAGGCGGCTTGAGAGAGCCGGTCAGAACCTTGGCTAGAGTCTCCCAACCCAGCCCTTGAGACCGCCTAAGAAAGGGAACAGGTCGGGCGCACGCCTGTAATCCCAGTATTCGGGAGGCAGAGGCAGGTGGATCTCTATGAGTTCGAGGCCAGCCTGGTCTACAAAGCAAGTTCCAGGACAGCCTCCAAAGCAATACAGATAAACCCTGTCTCGAAAAACCAAACCCCCCCCAAAAGAAGAAGAAGAAGAAGAAGAAGGAGAAGGAGAAGGAGAAGGAGAAGGAGAAGAAGGAGAAGGAGAAGGAGAAGGAGAAGGAGAAGAAGAAGAAGAAGAAGGGAAGGAAGGAAGGAAGGAAGGAAGGAAGGAATGAAGGAAGGAAGGAAGGAAGGAAACAGCTGTTGCCGGGGGAAGACAGGGAGCACACTTCCCTTTTCCCTGATGAAGGCTGGACTTGGATGTGTAACCCCCGCTCCCCACACTGCAGAGAGAGTGCTGCTGTTGTCCCAGCCTCCTCCCCTCCTCCCCTGTCCGTCTTCCTTCTTCTCTGCCTCGCCTTGCTCTCTCTCCCCTCCCCTCCCCCTGGTTTTCCTTCTGAGACAGTTTCGTGTATCCCACGCTGGCCTCAAACCCATGACGTAGCTGACCTTGAACTTGTGAATCCTCTCGCCTCCACCTCCCAGGGCTGGGATGACAGGCGTGCATCTCCACACTGTTTTTGGGGTGCTGGGTAGAGACTGCACCCCAGGCTTCCTGCACACTAGGCAGGCCCTCTATCAAATGAACCTCTTGCCCCGACCCCGAGCATCGTCCTTGTCCCGATGAAAGTTTCCGTTTCTCCTACAGCTGTATCTCTGTACTCTGAAACGTCGAGTGCTTATCATGAATTCTGATGGGACCACTCGTCTCCTCTGAGACCAGGGGGTGACTCCCACCAACTGAGGCACAAAATCTGAACCTATAGGATCCGATAATATGTTGACCTAGCATGACCTGGGCTCTGTTGCTGGCGATGTTGTGGCAATCATTTGTGCATTCTGAAGTTAACTACACACACACACACACACACACACACACACACACACACACACACCTTGTATGTTCTACCTGGCACATTTTACTCCCATCTTGGCTCACAGAAACTGGTCCCCAAAACTGGTCCCCACCCCTCCAGTCCTCCCGCCATCTATGTCTGTTTCCGCCCTCGTTATCACAAACTGCTGGGATGCGCTTGGTTTTTCTCACTTCTAGACCCTTTTCTGTTTCCACACAGCCCCAAGTAATCTGGCTCCGAATATCCCAGCTCCATCTTTCACCGGGGACCCGTGAGAGTCAGGACTGGCTCCATGCCTCTTCCTCTCTCTCCAACAGCACACAGACCCCCAGCTCAGTGTGCCTCGAGTCCCCAGCACCCTGCAGAGGGGAAGGAACCGGAAACATCACAGGAATTTATACTTTAGAAAACAGCACGCTCTCACGTATCCCAGGAAGTCCTCTCACTATGTCGTGGAGGATAACCTTGAATTTCTGATCCTCCCGCCTCCCAACTGCTGACACTACAGACACGGTTGTACCATCGTGGCGGTTCATCCAGCGTTGGAGATTTGAGCCTCCAAATCTTCGTGCAAACACTTCAAACAGAGCTAGACCCCCCCCCACCCAACACTTACACTTTCTAGAGTTTACTAAACGCACCATGGTGCCCCCTGGTCTGGACTGGGAAGCAGGAAAAGGGTCTTGAAGGCAACGAGGGTGGACAGGACAGCTGTTGTTGGAAGTGTTGCTAACTTAGTGATAAATGCTGGGTGTGATGCTGACCTCGGGGGAAGCCAGGTTGGGAGGGGAGGGATCCAAGGGACCTTTGCAACTGTTTTGTAATACTAAAACTATTTACAAAATAAAAAGTGTATTTGGACGATGAAATGAACACACGTCATTCTCAAGGCTTTAAACCTAAGAGACAGTGCAGCTGTCCCAGAGAAAGGGGGAAAGCTGCCCTTGATCCCCCCCAGTTGCTCACCACCTGTTTCTGGTCCCTGGTCTGAGGTCATTTCTCATGACATCATTCTAGAACCTTGTCTCATTTCATCCCTAAACAGGACCCTAGTGTCTGGGCTCCTGGACATAGCCTCCGGGAAGATTTGTGTTCGCCAACGAGGCAGCAGAGGCAGGAGTTGAGGAGCAGACTAGATGGGGCCGGACTAAAGAAAGGATGAGACAGTCTGAGGGAGGAGGCTAGCTTGCGTCTGCACCCCTAGATCTGAAGGAAAAGGGCTACGAGCCCGATTCCTGGGTCAGAGAGAAGAGATCTAGGACCTAGTCGCCTGGATCGGAGGCAGAGGGAGGGATGGGTTCCTGGACTGGATGAAGACAGTTTAGGCCCTAGGCTTGTGTGTCTGAGGGAGGATGGGTGGGGTCTGGGACCTTGGGTCTGAGGGTAAATGAATGGGGCCTGGACTCCTGAGGAAGGAGGGTTGGGGTCTGAACCCTGAATCTGCGGGAAGAGGGCTGGCCTCTGGAGTCCCGAGTTTGAGAGAGGAAGGTTGCCCGGACCCTTGGATCTGAGGGAGGAGGGCTTGGATACGAGATAGAAAAGATGGTTGGTACCTAGAGTCCAGTTTCTGATAGGAGGGTTGCATTCTAGACTCCCCCACTGAGAAAGGAAAGCTAGGGCATGGACCCTGAAAGCCAGGAAGGAGGGCCGGACTTCCGGGACTGAGGGAGGAAGGCTACTTCTGGGTCCTAGGGAAGAGAGCTGAGCCTTCCACCACCCAGCCCCACCCCCGCCCCACCCCGTCGGGGCCCTTTGTCTAACCACAGCCAGTACTAGGATTCAACACAAGATGTCGCTCTGCCCCTAGTGGGGGCAGAAGGGGCGGGGCAGGGGTGGGGCTTTACGGCCCCCCCAAGGCGGGGGTGGGACTTGCTCCCGGGCAAGCTGATGCTGGCAGCAGCCCCGCAGGGCAGGGCACTACAGGCACTAGGCAGAAAGGGGTCAGACAAGCCTTGAAGAAGGTGAGGTTTTGGGGCTCTCAGCCCAGGTCAGAAGTAAGGCAAGGTTAACCGTCTTGAGGTAGGCTGCAGTTGAGCAGGATTTAAAACAGGTGGCAAGAGTTCTGGACCCCTCAACGGGACAAGACGCACCTTGAAGCAATTGAATGCTTGAGTGTTGGGGCCAGGGTCTGAGCACCCCTCAAGTTGTGTGAGTTACAGAAGTTCCTGGGACAGTAAGAAGTTACGGTTTGGACCCTCAGGTCTGAGGGAGGACGACTGGGGTGAGGGACCCTGGTAAATGGTTGGGGTCTGAACTCTTGAGTCCGAGGAAAGAGGGCTGGGGTCCGAACCCCGAATGTGAAGGAGGAAGGCTGGGCTCTGTATTTCTCGGTGTCGGGAGGGGAACTGGGGTCTAGCGGAGAGAGGCTGAGCTCTGAGACTCGGACCCCAACACGATTGAGGGCCGAAGGACTGGGGACAGGTCCAGGGGACAACTTCGGGCAGGACCCTGACGTCTCAAGCTGTGTAGAGCTCCACCCTTCCCTGGAGGCAGGGAGCACCTGTTTGCTCTTTGGAGGGAGCCTGCTCACCCACTCCAGGCCCAAGTCTGTTTGCTTTGGAAACAAGATGGGGGGGTTGCGGGGGAGTGTCTCGATGGGTGGCGTGGCTCACCCTTCATCCTCAGGCCACCAGGCGGCATCGGGAATGGGGGGGCATCGGGAAGGGGGGGGCATCTGACCTCTCGGTACCCCTCACCTCACACCAATGACTGTTTTCCACTCTCCGGGGTCTCCGACAGGATGGAAGTGAGGAGCAATGGGGACTGGTGATCAGGCCTCAGCCCAGGCCCAGACTTCTCTTTCAGACCCCAGCCTCCTCCCTCAGACCCGGGAGTCCAGGCCCCAGCCTCCTCCCTCAGACCCGGGAGTCCAGGCCCCAGCCTCCTCCCTCAGACCCGGGAGTCCAGGCCCCAGCCTCCTCCCTCAGACACGGGAGTCCAGGCCCCAGCCTCCTCCCTCAGACCCGGGAGTCCAGGCCCCAGCCTCCTCCCTCAGACACGGGAGTCCAGGCCCCAGCCTCCTCCCTCAGACACGGGAGTCCAGGCCCCAGTCTCCTCCCTCAGACCCAGCCCTTGCTTTCCCTGCAGTTGCCGTAGGCAGTGACCTCTGAGTCCTGGGTCACTTTCGCTGTCTGTCTCACAGAAATGCCAGGCAAGCAGTCGGACGACGGGCCGATGGAAGTGGCAGCCGTGGAGGACGGAGGTGACGAAGGCCTGGGGGGCCTCACAGTGGAGGAGCTGCATCAGGGCCAGGAGACCGCCCTGGCCCTGGAAGACATGATGGCTTTGAGCGCCCAGACCCTGGTCCGCACTGAGGTGGAGGAGCTGTATGAGGAAGTGCGTCCCTTGGGCCAGGGCCGGTTTGGCCGTGTCCTGCTGGTCACTCACCGTCAGAAAGGTACTGGATGCTGGGCACAGGCACGCCATACGGTACGGCCGAGAGCAGAGACTACCCTCGAGCTAGCCGAGACTATCGAGTCATAACAACCTCAACCAGAACTTCCTTTTCCCCGTTATTTCCAAGCCGTGTGTGTTTTTAGGGGGTCCCTTTCACCCCTCTGAGCCCCGGCTCTCTCCTTTGAAAACACAAGAAGCCTGGCACTGTGGTGTATGCTGCATAGTCTCACCACTCAGGCTGAGGCGGGAAGGTTGCTGGCCTAAGATTGACATAGTGAGTTCTAGGTTAGCCATGGTTACACAGCAAGAAAACCATCTCAAACAAAACCAGACGCTGATGCCCGGTATCCCCGAGATGGAATCTCTAGAGGTAGCGAGAGGACGATCAGGAGTTTGAGATCATCCTATGATACATATGGAGTCCCTGGCCAGCCCGGACTACATCAGAGTCCTTTTCAAAAAATAGAAAGCCAGGCAGGATGGCTCGGCAGCTAAAGGCGCTTGCCGCAAAGTCCGATGACGTGAGTTCAATTCCCCACGTCCTACATGGTGGAAGGAAAGACTGGCTGCCTCAAGGTGTCCTCTGACCTCCACAACCCCCCTCCCAACAAACACACAATCAGTAAGTCAATGTAAAACTAAAAAGAAAGGAGAAAAGAAAACAGTGTTTTACTTAAAAAAAAAAAAGCAAACACACACACACAGACACTAATGATTTTCTATCATACAGCCATGCCATCTTAGCTGCACTTCCTGGGGTGTTTGAGACTGTTTTATTAAGAATTTTTTTTAGTTATGTACATATCAGTGCAGTCATGCACAGGAGTGCAGTGTCCAGAGAGGCCAGAAGAGGGTGACAGATCCTCAGAGGCTGGAGCTTCAGGTGGTTGGCTATGAGCTGCTGGATGATGAATACTGGGATTTGAACTCAGGTCCTCTGGAAGAGTAGCAATTATTCTGGGTTTTTGTTTGTTTTGTTTTTTGGTTCTAACCTTCACTTGTCTTTCTGTTTTTTTGTTTGTTTGTTTGTTTGTTTTTGTTTTTCAAGACAGAGTTTCTCTGTGTAGCCCTGGCTGTCCTGGAACTCACTCTGTAGTCCAGGCTAGTCTTGAACTCACAGAGATCCGCCTGCCTCTGCCTCTCGAGTGCTGGGATTAGAGGCATGTCCACTACGGCTTGCCGGGTGGGTGTTGGTCTAAAGAGGCAGCCAGGACTGTCATTTTAGCCCACAGAAGACTGAGGGAGTAGGATGGCCATTTCTAGGTCTTCCTGAGGCTGTAGAATACATTCGAGGCACCTGAGAAACTTAGTGAAAACTTGCGTTAAATCAAATAGTAGAAAGAAGTCTGAGGCTATATCTTGGGACTCCAGTACTTGCCTAGAATGTACCAGTCAGGGATGAGTGACCCAGAATTTATCAATGAGCAGGGAAAAGCAGTGTTTCTCCATATAGCCTTCCCCTAGAGTGAGGGTCCTGGGGCGCAGGGCATGGTTTAGCGGTAGAACACTTGCCTAACATGTCCAAGGCCCTAGGTTCAATCCCCAGCAATAGAAAGAAAATGCAGGCCTGAATCATACGACAGAAAACCCCGAGGTAGATAAGCTTAAGACCTAGTATCTGATGGCTAAAAGCCTGGCACTAAAAGTTTCTCCGTTGGAGGAAGAATTGAGGAAGTTGTTTCTACATGGAATAGGACCATGACTCCTTAATTGGACCTGTTACCCTGCCCTCTGTATGAATCCCCCAGTTGACTCAAACGTGTCTTTGTGCCAGCCATGGTGGTCTATACCTACAGTTCCACCTGTGAGACGGGAAGGTCGAGAGTTCAGGTCAGGTACACAGGGAGCCAGAATCCAGGCTGGAATACATGAGACCCTACCTCAGAAAGAGAAAAAATATCCTCCCAGACACAGCCCGCACGGGATTGGCCTAGGCCCTCTGCATACATGGGACAGTTGTGTAGCTTCGTCTATTTGTGGGATCCCTAGCGGTGGGATCAGGGCCTGTCCCTAACGCTTAGCTGGCCTTTGGGAACCCATCCCCTATGCCGGTTGCCTTGCGCAGCCTTAATACGAAGACAGGAGTTTAGTCCTACCTCAGCTAGCTGTGCCATACTGTGTTGACTCCCGTGGGAGGCGTGGGGGCAGAGGTGGGAGGGGAGGGAGGGGACAGTGTGATTGGATGTCACATAAATGGAAAAAATTACACACGCACACGCATGTGTGTATATATATTCATATATATGTATATATGATATATACTTGTACACTCCCGAATGGATCTGTTACCATAGAGAGTCCAGCTGAGTCACTGGAAGTCCCAGATTCAGTTTCTGTTGACCCTGAGAACAGAAACGCAGAGTGGACACGGGTGCTGAACACTGCTGTTAGCAGCTGAGTCTGGTGCCGTTAGAGCAGGTTGGTAGGGAAGCAGGGACTGGGGGTGAGGCATTTGGGAAACTGATTCCCTCCCGAAGCCTAGGAAGGTTGAGAAAGCCAGTCCTCTGATGAGATGGCTCAGGGGTTAAGAGTGCTGGCTGCTCTTCCAGAGGACCGGGGTTCAAATCCCAGCACCCACACGGCAGCTCACAACTTTCCGTGACTCCAAGATCTGACACCCTCACATAAACATACATGCAGGCGCCGGGCAGTGGTGGCGCACACCTTTAATCCCAGCACTCGGGAGGCAGAGGCAGGCGGATCTCTGTGAGTTCAAGGCTGGGCTGGACCGACAGCCTCCAAAACAATACAGAGAAACCCTGTCTCGAAAACAGAAACAAAAGCAAAAACATACATGCAGGCAAAACACTAATGCATTTAAAATAAATAATAATGATAATGATAATAATAAAGAACGCTGGTCCTAGTGACCCTAAACTCCTTTTTAATTTTTTTTATTTAAATTGGAAACAAGCTTGCTTCACATGTCAATCCCAGCTCCCTGCCCCTAACTCTTACCCACCTCTGATATCCATCCCTGTTGCATCTGCTCCCCGTCCCAGGAACACCCCTGGCACTGAAGCAGCTCCCCAAGACGTCCACTTCCCTCCGTAGCTTCCTGTATGAGTTCTGTGTGGGCCTCTCCCTTGGCACGCATCCGGCCATCGTGTCTGCCTACGGCATCGGCATCGAGTCAGCCAGTTCCTACAGCTTCCTGACAGAGCCCGTTCTCCACGGGGACCTCATCACCTTCATCCAGCCCAAGGTGAGTAGGCAGGCCCTGGGTGTGTCTGCATGAGCCTTACCAGGGTTCGTGGGAATCTCCAAGCAGCATGAACCCCAAGAGTCATGTTCACCGTGTTAGGCTACACCGGCCCTCATCTGACCCCGATTGTAAAAATAACCTGGTCACTTTCGACTTCATTGCCTATGTCGTATTGCGATTAACCAACCCTCACAAGGTCATAGTCTGTCCCACTGGAGTTAACTTGGGCTCGCTGGGACCCATCTGGGACCCACCCGTTCATACGAGGGCTCACAGATCTCTCCAGGTCACACACCAGGGGTGCTCATGCTTGGCCTCTGCGTTCATACACGCTCACAGGCCTCACAGCTGACACTAGACTCATGCTAGTTCCCCTCACCCGCCCCCCTCAGTAGGCCCCACAAGCCCTCTGAACTTACAGGCTTGACGAAGCTCACAGGACCTCATAGCTCACACACAGGTCTCAAAGGACTCATGCGAGTCACGGGTTCCAAGTAGGCCTTACAAGCCTACGCTAGACCTTACTGCCCTGAAGTCCTCAGAGGCCCGACAGGCTTTTGCACTAGGCCTCAGAGACCTCGCAGTTCTTATAGGCTCATACTGGGTCTCACAGGGCCGCGTGCGTGTGCGTGCGTGCGCGCACGTGGACACACACACACTCACACTTACTTGGTGGGCCCGACAAATTCACACTAGGCTTCATAAGTCTCTCAAAGCTCACAGGCCTCATGGCGTCCGTAGCCTTCCCAGCTTTCCCGGGACCGCGCCTGGGGTTGAAGGGAAGCCCTACCTCTGCAGTTGCCCTCAGCGGCTGGGGGAAGAGTGGACCTGTATTATCTCCCCCACACCCAGGTGGGTCTTGCCCAGCCAGCAACCCAGCGCTGTGCAGCCCAGCTGGCCTCGGCCCTGGAGCATATTCACTCCCAGGGCCTGGTGTACCGGGACCTGAAGCCGGAGAACGTGCTGGTGTGTGACCCAGACTGCCACCGAGTCAAGCTGACGGACTTTGGCCACACGCGGCCCCGAGGGACCCTGCTGCGACTCACTGGGCCTCCCATCCCCTACACTGCTCCTGAGCTGTGCGCGCCACCACCCTTCCCCGAGGGACTACCCATCCAGCCTGCCCTGGACGCCTGGGCTCTAGGAGTCCTGATCTTTTGCCTTCTTACCGGCTACTTCCCCTGGGACCAGCCCCTGGTGGAGGCTGATCCTTTCTTTGAGGACTTTCTCATCTGGCAGGCCTCGGGCCAGCCCCAAGACCGGCCCCAGCCCTGGTATGGCCTGTCACCCGCGGCAGACGCTCTCTTGTGGGGGCTGCTAGACCCTCACCCCAGGAAGAGGAGCCCTGTGAGCTCCATCAAGGGCTACCTAGGCCAAGCCTGGAGACAGAGGGAGGGGGAGGCTGAGCAATTGGCAAAGGAGCTGAGGGAAGATGGGTAATGAGGAAGCCACGAGGCTTGGAAGGGGGAGCAGCCTGCATGCCGAGACCTGCTTAGCCTGCACTGCCTGGCTGGGGCCTCCTCTCTGCAATCCCTCTGCTACCTGTCCTGTGTGTAGATTGCGTCTCTCCTTTATGCTCTGTGCGTGTGTGCATGTGCGCGCTCGCACACACACGCGTGCACGTTGGGTGAAGGTCAGAGGACTTTGGGGGAGTCAGTTCTATCCTTCCATATTGGGGCCCACTGAATTCTTTATCAGTCTTCAAACTCCCTTCCCTATGGGAGCCGTCTCTGGTCTTGATCTCTGGATCCTCCTGCCTCAGAATCCCGAGTCCTGGGATAACAGGCACGCACGGTGCTCAGCTCTCCTGCATAGCCGCGCACCGTCCCGCCCACCTCAGATAGCCTCCCCTATAAACCCCAGGTAGGACGGCCACCAGCCCTGGACGGCGTGATCCTAGACCCCTCCTCTGTCTACTGTGCGTTCCTGGTGTGCGCTGTACCCCTTCTAACCGTAGACCCTCCCGGAGGGCGGGGCGCCGTCTTGGCTCCCGAAGGACTGCCCCCTGCATCCTCAGAGCGGTACCCAGCCTGCAGCAGGCAACCAAATCATCAGGCACATCCGTCCATCGGTGCCTCTCTCGCTCCTCGCCGCTGTCTTCCTGGCTTTGTCATCCCGTCTTCTCTCATGGGGCTTCACGGCACTCAGATGGGCTCCAGCTTTTTTTTTCTCCCACCAACCTGCATGCTGGGATACCGCCATGCCCCCGCCACGCCCCTCGGACACCGCCACTCCACGCCCCCCTATCATCACGCCACACCCCCCCACCCGAGTGAGGTCCGCCTGCCTCAGCTGCCCTCTGCAAATAAAGTCCCCCTGACAACTAGGTCTTGTGCTGTTGACTCTGTCTGTTCAGGAAAGAGAACGGGAAAAGAGTAAGACGTAGACAGAGCGAGACACCACAGAGGCCAGGGGAGAGACGGAGAAGTCGTAGGACCGAGTGGTGCTTGGCGAGGGACTCCCATTGGGTCGCTCTTCAGTGGAGCCTGTGATAGCAGGTATCTAAATATTGTTCAGGCAGCTATTCCGTTCATTCGTTTATTTGTTTATTTATTCCACCTGCCTCTGCCTCCCAAGTGCTGGGATTAAAGATGTGGACCACCGCTGCCCGGCTCATCTATTTAGTTCTTAATTTTAAAAAGGATTCTTTGTTCTATGTTCACGCCACAGCATGGACGACTTGCAGGATGCTGACAAGCTTAGCGGCAGGTGCCACTGAGCCCGCTCACCTGCCCAGTTTTCACATTTTCGTTTTGTTCTCTTTTTTATGACACAGAGTTTCATTATGTAACCCTGGCTGTCCTGGAACTCACTTTGTAGACCATGGTGGCCTCAAGTTCCCAGAGATCCGCCTGCCTCTGCCTCCTAAATGCTGGGATTAAGGGTGTGTGCCACAAATGCTCCCCCCACCTCATTTTTTTTTGGACATGGGCCAAGCTGCCCTGCAACTCATTATATAGCTGAGGGTGACCTTGAACTCCTGATCTGCCTGCCCCTACCTCCTGAGTGGGAGGATTACAGGCATGCTCCACTGTGCTGGGTGTATGCAATGCTCATATTCCAATGAGGGGCTTTCTGTGCGCTAAATACACACTCCGCCAACCGAGACACATTACCAGTGAGCCACGTATTTCTAAGATTCCTCTCGATTCTATGCAACCAGAGTCTTGTGCGGTGAAAACCACAGTCCTGCCTGGGTAGATGACTCAGTAAAGCGCTTGACGGGAAAGCCAGGGACCCGAGTCCACCGGTTTTGAGGAGGCAGACCCCTGTGGTTTTTCTGGCTATCAGGCTTTGCGTGTGCATGCTTGTGTGAGACAGCCCGGTAAGGCAGCTCAGGCAGCAGCCCTAGCCGGTTCTCATCCATCTGGTCCCTCTCCATCCTTCTCACCTCCCCCTACACCCTAGCCCCTTCCTGGCAGCCACCTTGTTTGCAAACACTCTCTTCCTCTCCGTGCCCTGCTTGGCTGCAGGCCCAGGACAAGGCTACAACTCGGGGATGGATCGTGTGTCACTGGCTCCCTAGCCCCCTGCACACGCCCCTAGCGCCCCTGCTGTGGCCACGAGGTGCTTCCTGGAAGGGGGCTGGCAGAGCGTGTGTGCCCGAGTGTGAAATGACCCCGGGGACCCTTGGACTCTGGGTTCCAGCCAATGCAGTAGGGATGACAGCTGCTATCCCGGGCAGCCAGTGGGGCGCCTGAGAGTGACGAATCTTTAGAAAGGAGAGAGGCGGACTGCAAAGGGGGTGAGCCGTGTCAAGGCCTCCTGCCCCCTCCTCCATGGATCGAAAATAGCTTGAGCAATTAGGCCAAGAATGTGTCCCATAAAAACGGAAGGTGCCTGGGATGAGGGTATCGGGGACGGAGGAGAAGGGCAGGGGGCACGGGGGCGCCTGTGCGCCTGTTAATTGGTGGTGGCAGCTGTGGATTAGCTGGAAGGTGATAATGACAAGCGTTGACCTAAGCGGCAGGGGATGGCAGAAGATTCCCAGGAAGGGTCCAAGGGGAAGGACAACACCAATTATCAATGCTAACTGCACAATTTCACACCAAGGACGCTGGCTCACACACTCCCTGCTCACCGATGACTCCTCAGCGTGCCAAAGGGGCCCCTGGCACTTTCCATACTTCTCTTTGGGGGCTGTGGTGTGGCACAGCAGCCACACGCCAGTCAGCATTCACACACACACACATACATATGCACACACACACCCACGCACCCATGCACACACACACACACACACACACACGCATGCACACATGTCAGTAATAGAGCTGGAATTCAAACCCCAGAAACACTCCCGCTGTTGAGCTGCAGGGGTGTGAGAGGAGGGGTGTGGATAAGTGTGAGCGTGTGTGTGTGCAGCCACAGGTGTGTGTGTATGTATTGTGCCGTCACGGCCACAACAGTGTGGATGAAAGTGAGCGTGTGTGTGCAACTGAGTGTGTTCACAGGAATTGTTGTGAGTGTGTGTGTGCAAGACCAAGAGCGATCGCAGGAGCACGGATGCATGAGTGTGCGAGGCAGGAGTGAATGTGGGAGCGCGTATGTGTGCCGAAGAGAACGCGTGTGAGTGTGAATGTGGGCGTGACTACGAGACTGTGCACGCGTGTGTGTGTGCGCGCGCGCGCGTGGGCAGGAGTCAAGCCTGTGAAAGCATGCATACGGGACGTGGAAAAGTGCGGATGCGAGTGCTCGTGTGCACAAGGGCATGAGCGTGCATGAGTGAGCACAGGGGTGCCAGGACTAGTGTGGTCGTGAGTGTGGTTATGCCAGTGTGCAAGGGTGGGTGCGGGAGTGTGAAGTGAATGGGTGTGTGGGTGAATTTGAAGTGCGGGGTGTAAGGTTGACTGTATGTGTGAACGTGACAGTGCTTGTGCGTGGGGGAGTGAACGCGGGTGTGTGGAAGTGAGTGTGAGCACAAGCCATGCGGGCAGGTGTGAGTGTGAGTTTGCCCAAGCGTGGGAACGGAGACGGGCGTGAGTGTGCATACGTGGGTGCAGAGGTGGTCATCGGTGTGGCTGCGTGTAAAGGCGGGTGTGAACATGAGTGTGCACACACACGCAAGAGGGAGCCAGGCGGTGTGAAGGTAAACTCGAACATCAAGTGCGGGTGGGAGTGGAAAGTCTGCTCATGTGTGCCAGGAGTGTGCATCTGAGTGTGAGACGGGACAAGAGTGTGGTGTGCACGCGTGTGTGTGTGTGTCCATGTAAGAGTGTTCACTGCGTGCAGGAGCATGAATATGTGTGAACACGAAGTGTGCGTGTGAGGGTGAGGGCAGGTGTGAGAGTGAGAGGTTGATTATGCGTGCTAGAGCGAACACAGGTGAGTAAAAAGCGGTGTGCATAAGATCCGTCTGGGTGAGTGTGAGTAAAGCAGAGACGTGAGTGTGTGGGTGTGAGCACGGATGCGTCGTGCGAGTGCGTGGGTGTGGAGGTGAGAGCTAGGATTAGAGTGGCCATGAATGTGTGGTCTTGTGCCCGAAGGAGGGTGTGAACACGAGTGTGACTATGAAATGTGGGGTAGGCACGAAGATGTGTGCTCACATGCGTGTGAGCGTCAACAAGCATGGGCATGAGGGTGCTCTATAGCTGTGTTCATGCAAGAGCGCATGCCGTCTGTACAGGATCGTGTGTGTGTGTGTGTGTGTGTGTGTGGTGTGTGTGTGAGAACGTGAGCTGTGAGGGCGTGGGGGTTAGGAATGAGTGTGAATGTGCAGGTGTGTCCTCGGGTGTCAGGCACGCGGGAGTGAGCGTGAACTTCAGCGTGCAAGCGTTTATGGGTGTGGACACAAACGCGTGGGCACGCGTAACACGCTAGTGTGGTGTGCGTAAGAGTGTGAGAAGCCGTTGAGCAAGCCAAGGTGCGAGCGTGAGAGCAGCCAGCGGGCCTGCAAGGGCGTGTGAGGATGGCTGGGCGGGCGCGAGCGAGCTCAGATCCGGAGGGAAATGGGGGGCTGTTTAAGAGTGAGGCGGGGAAAATGCAGTTGTGTCACCGAGGAGCTCACCCCTCCCTGAGTGGTGGACCCTGATTGGTTAACACTGAAAGCCAAGCAGGAAACACTTTAGACCAGAGAGCATGGCCACAGTCGAGGGACAGACAGGCGAGGGCGTGTGAGCTGTGCCCCCTCACACACTGGAGCAGGCTTTTCAGCGTCATCAGTGAAGAAGGCGCTGGCCACCAAACCCGAAGACTGAGTTCCATGCCCGGGTCCCACCGGGTGGAAGGAAAGAACCAACTCCTGCAAATTGTCCTCCTACCTCTACACATGTGTCCCCGCCACCCCCCCCCACATCATATATGTAACAGCCACGAATGGGCTGCTACACCAGACCCAGCAATTCCACTCCTAGGTACACATCCAGGAGACAGGGCAGGGCAGAGGGCCACACGGAGTACAGCCAGCGTGAGGACTGAGTGCAGGTGCCCGGTACCCACATAAACAGCTGTGTGCAGCCAGAATGTGCCTGCAATTCCAGGGAGGCGTAGACAGGGGAGATCCCGTAGCCAACCCCTGGGTGAGCGCCAAGGCTGGTGAGAAATCCTATTTAAAGAAGAAAAAGCAGGTAGGTTTTTGCAATGGGCAGTAGTTAACAGGAGGAACCCCCAACTGGTCAATATGCCAGGAACAAGGACTTGAGTGTTCAGCCCCCAGCTGGACATCTAAACCATCCTTTCCAAGACCCAGGCAACACGAAGAAAGAAGAAAGGGTGTGTAAGGGGGACAGGGGGGTTCGAAAATGACCAAAGTTCATTATATACATGGATGAAACTGTCAGTTCTTTTTTTTAAGTGGAGAACAATTGACTCCTGGCTTCCGAACAAACACACATGTGCTCACACACATGCTCACACACATGCTCACACACATGCTCACACACATGCTCACACACATGCTCACACACACACTCACAGCAACGTTACCCAGAGAGTGGAGACGATGCAGACTTCCAAAGACGCAATGCAGGAACACAGCGTGACTCACCTGTAAGTGACATACTATCAGGTCACGATAAGGGAACGAAACGGGCTCACATCCTGGGTGTCACAGAGACGCCTTGAACCGGCAATGCTAAGTCAAAGACGTAGTCACGGGACCACAGAGGGCAACTCCATTCGTAGGAAACGTGTGGAGCAGACCACCGGTAGTCGTAAAGGAGCTGGTGGGGCAGGAACTGGGTTCCGGGGCGGCAGTGACTGCTGAGGGCCATGGGTTTCCGTCTCGAGGGCAGGGCATGTTCTCAGGTTATGATGGGCACTGCCTGGTTATCTTCATATGCTCACAGCCAGGAGGCTGGAGAGGTGACTCTGCAGTTAAGAGCACTTGCTGATTCCGCAGAGGACCAGGGTTCAGTTCCCCACACACGGCAGCTCACAAACCCCTGTAACTCCTGTTGCAGGGGATCTGATGTCTTATGGCCTCCGTTGGGTATCAGGCATACCCATAGAGTACAGGCATACATGCAGGCAAAATACCCATATACACGCCAGGCAAGAGGATCTCTGTGAGTTCGAGGCCAAGTTTTCTCTCTTTTTTCCTTCCTTCCTTCCTCCCTCCCTCCCTCCCTCTTTCCCTCCCTCCTTTCCTTCCTACCTACCTTTCTTTCAGACAAGGTCTCACTATGTATTCCTAGCTGGCCTCAAACTCACAGAAATCCACCTGGTTCTGACTCACAAGTGTTGGCATTGAAAGTGTGTGCCACCAAGAATAACTTTCTTTTTAGTAGAAATTGCTCTGTACCCACACCTCTTGCAGGAAAGAGGGTCAAGACTTACAGCCTAGAGACTAGTACAGAGATACGAAGGCCCAGGGGCCCTTCTCATAGGAAAGTTTTAGCTGTTTTGCTCGTTTGTCTGTTTGAGTCAGTCTTATGTAAGCCAGGCTGACTTCAGACTTCCTATGTAGCCAAGGATGACCTTCAACTCCTAATCCTCCTGCCTGCGTCTCCCTAGTGCTGGGGTCACAGGCACACACCACCACGCCTTTTTAATACAGTGCTGGGATCGAACCCAGGACCTTGTGCATGCTAGGCAAGCCCTCTAACCCTAGCCCCAGCCCCAGGTAAACTAGGTGGGCTAGGCCATAGGTTGTGATTTGACGGGTCTCGGGGGTCTGTTCCTGACTGGCTTCCAGAGAGGTGGATGCTGGGTGTAAGGGGTGTGAGGGGTGTGAGGATGTACTGTTACGGTATGCATCCAGTGTTCTGGATGGATTTCCTGGCATCACTATTTATCCACTCCATTCTTTAGAGTTTTCTCTATCAACATCCCAGGTGGAAGATGACAGACACGCATTTGATTGATGTGTGTGGTGTGTGTGCGCGTGGTGTGTGTGTATGTGCGCGTGGTACGTGTATGTGTGTGGTGTGTGTGCCTGTGTTGTGGGCGTGTTTAATGGAGTTCCAGTGTGGAGTTTATCAACACCCGCTGAGTTTGCTGGCTCTATGCAGCTACTGTTCTGGGCTTGTCGCAAGCTGGCAAGCAGACATGGATCTCAGCTGTCCCAAAGGGAGGTGTGGAGGGTCAGGGCCAGCAGCGGGTGGGGTTGGCTACCCATCCTGGCTGTAGGCCCCAGGGCCAGATGTTTGGGCTTAGCTGCCCAGCCAAACGGAGATAGAATGACTGAGTAATTAGGTGCCCGCCTGTTTGGGCTGGCAGAAGGTACCTGGGGTGGAGAGATCTTGGGCCGGAACACCTATCACACACCCACGCACCTCTGGTTTGCAGAGAAGCCAAAGGCTGCACCCCAACCTGGGCTCTCTGGCACTTTCAGAGAGATGACCCACAGCTAGGGTCCACCTGATCCCACCCATGGATAGACACAACTGTTTCTTCCAAGCTGGGGTGCTGCTCCCTGACACCCAGTGAGCCAGGACAGGAAGGGGAAAGCACAGAAGCCCTACTCTCCCAAGGTTAGCTGTCAGCAGTTATTTAAGTCTCTGGCTTAATGAGATCTCAGGACCACAGAGTTCCCTGCATACGCTTTTGCCTGTTGGCAAGATCAGGGTGTCCATCCATCAAGACCCCCGGTCATTATCCCGCTCCATGCCCAAACAAGTAACTGGACCCCGCTGGCCTTTGCAGGAGTGCAGGGGCGCCAGGCTCCATCACCTTCAGTGACCTCTGAGCCGTGATCTGGGAAGAGGAGGAGGGACCAGTTTCCTGGCCAAGGCTGCAGGGGTCAGAAACTGGAGTGCTGGGGGTGGGGCGGGGTGGGTGGTGTCTTCCAAGCTATCCCCGGGTTTACAGACCAGTAAGGATGGGTTCAGAGATAGGAAGGGACCTGCTCGGGTCACTAAGACAGGGGAAGCCGTGGAAGCCCTCATCTGGAACCCAGGACAAGGTTAAAGCAGAGGCTTGTCTGTCGTTGTTCTGGGGCTGGGTCCCAGCTCTACCGTGTGGCTTTGGTGCTAGACTGCTCTGTTGATCAAGGCTCCTCCCTTGCAGGTCCAAGCTCCTCAAGGTGGCACACGCCCATAATACCAGGACCCAAGGAAGGGATCAGAGGTTCAAACCTCAACTATAAAGTTTGAAGCCGGTCTGGACTACCTCCCTCCCTCTCTCTCCCTCCCTCTCTCTCTCTCTCCCTCCCTCTCCCTCTGTCCCTCTCCCTCCCTCCCTCTTTCTCTCTCTCTCTCTCTCCCTCCCTCTCCCTCTCTCTCTGTCCCTCTCCCTCCCTCCCTCTTTCTCTCTCTCTCTCTCTCCCTCCCTCTCCCTCTCTCTCTGTCCCTCTCCCTCCCTCCCTCCCTCTCTCTCTCCCTCCCTCTCCCTCTCTCTCCCTCCCTCTCCCTCTGTCCCTCTCCCTCCCTCCCTCCCTCCCTCTTTCTCTCTCTCTCTCTCTCCCTCCCTCTCCCTCTCTCTCTGTCCCTCTCCCTCCCTCCCTCTTTCTCTCTCTCTCTCTCTCCCTCCCTCTCCCTCTCTCTCTGTCCCTCTCCCTCCCTCCCTCTTTCTCTCTCTCTCCCTCTCCCTCTCTCTCTGTCTCTCTCCCTCTCTTCCTCTCTCCCTCTCCCTCTCTTCCTCTCTCTCTCTCTTCCTCTTTCTCTCTCTCTCCCCATCTCCCTCCCCCCCCATACACACACACCCCACACCGTTAGGCACAAAGCGGCTATTAGGTGTGTCTGGGAAGAATCGCTCTTTTTTCCATCAATTCATTAACTTTACGGGTGACATATATGGAAGTTAGGGGACAGCTTTTGGTAGTTGGTTCTCTCCTTCCATTATTTAGGTTCCAGGGAATCAAACCCAGGTCATCGAGGCTTACATAGTAAGTATCTATCCAAATACGTCATCTCATTAGGTCTGGGCTCACTCTTGGTATGTGGGCATATGTCGCATACCATCTCTGCCCATAGGTAATCCTCACCCCTTGATGTGAGTAATGTTCCCATTTTACAGAGGAAAAAACTAAGGCTATGAGAAAAGAATAAATTAAAAAAAAACCAGAGTGATACGGGCTGCCCACAGCCAAGCCTGGAACAAGTCCAATTGATCTGACGTTGCCACGTAATACTATCTGAAGAGCAAGACCCCTGAGTTGGGAATGAAGTTCAGTTGGCGGAATGCTTGTCCAGCATTCACGAAGCCCTAGGTTCAACTCACAATGGTGCATAGAACCGGGTGTGACACATCTCTAACCCCGGTACTCCGGAGGTACAGGCTGGAGGGTCAGGAGCTCAAGGGCATCCACGGCGCGCTGAAGGAAAGTTCCCACTGGGCTGCGTGCATGAGACGATCTTCTCTCAGAGGGGTGTGGAGCACACAGGCGTGGGTTGCCAACGGCCCGGGGCTCAAGATGGTGGTAACGGAAGTCACTCACCTGGTGCGCGCGGAGAGCCTAAGCACCCTCAGAACCAGTGTTACCCTCCAGCCGTCTCCGCATGCCCATGAGGCAGACACTATTATTATCCCCGATTGTAGGTGGGGAGCGGAGACTCAGCCTCGACAGCTGGCTCAGGACTGCCCCTAGCCAGGGCTCCTCTGCGGCGTCCAGGCTCAGTGTGCGTCTCCTCTGAGCTCTGGTAACAGAACCCTCCCCAGCCGGTGGTAATGGAGATGCAGTAACAGCCGGCTGCGGAGCCGCTAAACCAGTGGTTCTCAACCTGTGGGCCGCAATCCTGTTGCCTTTCAAGGGGGTTCCCTAAAACCGTTCTGTAGATGAGATATTTACATTACGGTTCATAACAGTAGCAAAATTACAGTAGAGATGAAAGTGATGTTGTGGTTGGGGGTCACCACGGCACGAGGAGCCGTATTAAAGGGTCGCAGAGTTAGGAAGGCTGAGCACGGCTGTAAGTGGAGCCTGGCACGGGTGTTAGTCCCTGTGGTGGTGACGCTATGCCACCCATTCAGACTTACGGACCATGTGCTCTGTTGGGCTTTTGTTTTGTTTTTCTTCTTGATGGTTTTTGAGACAGGGTTTCTCTGTGTAACAGCCCTAGCTGTCCTGGAACCCGCTCTGTAGACCAGGCTGGCCTCGGACTCACAGAGCTCCGCCTGCCTCTGCCTCCCGAGTGCTGGGGTTAAAGGCGTGCGCCACCACCGCCCGGCGTGTGCTCTGTTTGTAAAGCCCGGCTAAGACAGCTTCCTGCTGGCACAGATTCATCACGGTCCGGGTTCATTGTGGTCGCGGCGAGCATGATCAACGTTATCGCCAGCATGGCCAGCCTATCGGTGTTATCCTCACGTCTGCGCTGTCACCGCCATCCCTGACGGTCACCTTCCGTCACCACCATCTTCCGTCACCCGTGGCTACTGGCATCACGCTCCCTGCCACCGTCATTGTCCCTAGTCACCACGACCGTCACCTTCACCACCACCAGTAACATCAACGCTATGTCACTGTGGCCACCACCCTCCCCGGTCGCCATACAATTACCCTCGCCGTCATCAACACCAGCACTCAGTCACCGCCTCCGTGGCTATGCCATCAACAACACCTCTCCATCGTGGTCAACTCCCTCACTGTCACCAGCCTGCCATCACCGCCTTCACCAGCATCCGTCACCATCGCCATCGCCTTTATCATCAGCACCAGCATCACCAGGGTTACCATCATAAGCACCCCGCTATTACCGCCGTCAACGCGACCATCACCCCATCATCACCGTCCCCGTCAGCAGCCGCTACAAGCGCCGCCTTCAGCAGCAGCAGCACCCCTAATTCAGCATACGCGGTATGGACAAGTCAGGGTCACCTTCGCGATTCTGTCCCTCCCTGGTCTCCCCCACTTCTCCCAGGAACAACACCCACACTTTGTTGGTAGATGCTTTGGTTTGTCTGTTTGTATCTCTAGCACCCCGGATTTCAGAACGGGTCACACATCTCCCCTTAGGGGCCTCTCCTCCTCCGTGGTGGTGGTGAAGGCGGGCACGGGTGTGCTGGGGGGCCGGGCGGCTTCTGCCAGTCTCTTTACGGTCTCCGTCAGCTGCCCCAGGCCCTGGGCAGCCTCTGCCAAGCGGAGCAGGCCCAGCCCCAGGACCTGGCGCTCCTGCCGGTCCTGCTCCAAGACCCGAGTCAGCCTCTGCAGCTGGTCACCCACCTCCCTCACGGCCGCCACCAGCTCCGCCAAGGCAGGTGGCTCACAAGCCATGACCCTTACCGGGGGTGCTGGGGACACGCACGGCCCAAGGGGACCTGGGTTGTGATGAGGGGGTGGCCCTTGAGTGAGGTGGTCAGGGGGGGGTTGCTCCAGCGGGGGAGCCATAGCGAGGTGAAGGTCGGGGGCCACAGTTGGGTCTGGGGCCGAGCGTGAGGTCTGGACAGATGGAGAGGTTAACTTGGGGCTTTGACTACTGGGTGGTTTGAAGACCTCCGTGGATAGCGGGTCCATGCCTGGGGTTGGGGAGGACCCGGAGGGGCCAGTCTCGGAGGCTGCAGAGGGCTCTAGGCTGTGCATCTGGGATGTGCTTGTGAGAGGGGGTCCCACAAAGGTCAGCCCCGGGTGTGGGCCAGGCTCGACCCTTGGCTCTGGAGCGAGGGAGGGAAAGTCTGTCTCCGGGGAGGATGGAAGGGACTTGGCAGCGGTGGCGGGGGCTGAGGAAGCGTGAGACAGGTTGGGTGAAGGTTGAGACGCTGTGGTAGGGTGAGGGGTCCTAGGAAACTGAGGGTTTGTGGTGTGTTGAGGGGGGGTCACGGTAGGATGAGAAGCTTTGGGGGGTTCAGGGGTGGTGGTGGGGTGAGAGACGCTGGTGAGTTTGGGGATGGTGGTGGGCTTCAGGGTGGTGGTGGGGTGAGGGACGCTGGTGGGTTCCGGGGTGGTGGTGGGTTCGGGGGTGGTGGTGGGCTCAGGCGTGGTGGTGGGTTCAGGGGCGGTGGTGGGGTGAGGGATGCTGGTAAGTTCAGGCGTAGTAGTGAGTTCGAGGGCAGTGGTGGGCTTCAGGGTGGTGGTGGGGTGAGGGACGCTGGTGGATTCGGGGGTGGTGGTGGGTTCGGGGGTGGTGGTGGGCTCAGGGACGGTGGTGGGTTCAGAGGTCGTGGTGGGGTGAGGGGCAGTTAATGGCTGTGTTGGGGTCCTGGGGCTCATGGGGAGGTCTGAGGTACCAGAACTCTCTGGGACTATTTCGGGTGTTGTGCCCAAATCCGGGGTTGTGACGGATCCTGGGGTCAGCTCCGAGGTAGGGGGAAGGCTGGTCGCTCCTGACAGCGCAGAGGAGTCAGAGGTTAGCCCTTTCGGGGAGGAGGGTGTTGGGCTGCGTGAGGACTCTGGGGTCCCGGTGGGAAGCAAACCGGCGTCCGAAGTGGACAAGGCGACGTCGGAGGTTGTCAGAGGTCGTCCCGGGATGGGCGGAGATGTTTTGGGGGCGCCTGCGGTCCTCTCCCGCTCTGGGGCCCTGTAAGGGATGAACTGTGGCCAGGAGCCAGAGGTTAGCCGTGAGCCGGAAGCTCCTGGCGCGGGGGAGGCAGCTGGGGATGAGCTGGTGGGTGCTGTCCTGGCTGGAGTGGGCCGCAGCGGCCGGCGCTCGGGTTTTGGCTTCCTTGGGGAACCTGGAGGAGAAAGAAAGGGGGAGCAGATCCGGCTGAGGTCAGGATGCCCTGCCCACCGTGTCCCGCACCACCCCTTGAGAAGCTGACCAATGGGAAGGCAAAGGTCCTCGTGACGTCATGGGTCACCGGCAGACTTCACCAGGCCCTAGTGCCCCCCACCTAGTCCCCTGTGAGGTTCCTGCCGCCACCTGGTGGTCTCCGAGGGACACAAGTAGGGAGGAATTCTGGAGGAAGCCTTTTCTACCATTTTCTGATTTGCCACAGTGACGATCCAGAGCTGCTGACATTCTGGACTGCGTGACTTTGCTGCGGGCATAGCTCAAGGGCTGCGGGGTGTTTAGCACCACCCCTGGCCTCTGCCCGCTAAGCGCCAATGGAATGAACACTAGGGATGCAGGGAACGGCAGTGCACTTACCCAGGCAGAGGCCTGGGTTTGGTATTAGGACCATAAAGAAAAATATTAGACAGACTCGGGAGCTAAAAGTGCCTAGCACAAAGCCTGGCAATGTGTCTTTGATCCCCTGGTCCTTCCTCCCAATAATAATAAAAACATAAATAAAGAAATAAAAGTTAGGACAGTGTCTTTAATCCCAGCCCTCAGGAGGCAGAGGCAGGTGGATTTCTGTGAGTTCGAGGCTAGCCTGGTCTGCAAAGTGACTACTAGGACAGTCAGGATTGTTACACAGAGAAACCCTGTCTCGAAAACAAACAAACAAAACACACACACACAAAGAAAAAAAGAAAGAAAGGTGTTTAGGGGTCATTGGGTAGATGTCTTGCCCCTAGTCATGGTGACCCCAAACGTGTTTAGCTGTCACTGTGTGCTGCTTATTCTAATTCCCTCAGGCAAGTCATCTCTAGCTAATGACTCCTTATTGTAGGCTATCCCTGTGGTGGGTCTTTCTGAGGTGAGACCTGGGTCCCCCCGGGGAACTTGGAGCCCATCTCTGCCCCCCACAACACAGCTTCCCCAGGCGCCTGCTCTACCCATGCCTCACCTGCGTCTGCACGGGCCCTCGGAGCCGGAAAGGGGTGGCCCGGACTCTTGCTGCCAGTGCCGCTGGCGACAGTGGGTCGGGGCTTGGTTGTGGTGGACGTCCCTCTGGACACACCCCTTCGCGTAGGAGTTTCCGGCGTCCCGGAGAGCTCGTAACTACCCTGGTCATCTGCAGGTGTGTGAGGGAGAGAGTTGAGTCTTCCTTTCTACCTTCAACCCCCCCACGGCAAATGACCATCACTCAGCTCCTTGACAGCCTATGTCACCTTGGCCGCCAGTCAGGGTCTCTTGGCTACTAAAGGCAGAAACTGATGAAATTACCTCATAAAGGAAATACATGCTTTACTTCCGTTCCCCGGAGCTCCTGACCTGGCATGCAAGCCCTCATAATAACTGAACTACCATGCTGTCCCAAACAGCTTCTTCTTTCTGCCTGTCTCTGTCTCCTGAGTGCTGGGATTAAAGGAGTGTGTCACCATGGCCCGGGTGTTTTTTTCTTTTGAGACATACACACACATGCACAAACATAAATAAATGTAAATGAATAAGTAAATACGAATAAGCAATAAAAAGAAAAACCAAATTCCCCAATTTTATAAATCCTCGGAATACAGAAACCTTTCCAGGCTGAAGTGAACAAGGAAAAATAAAGACATGGCTGGGCGTTGGTGGCGCACGCCTTTAATCCCAGCACTCAGGAGGCAGAGGCAGGCAGATCTCCGTGAGTTCGAGGCCAGCCTGGTCTACAGAGTGAATTCCAGGACAGCCTCCAAAACAATACAGAGAAACCCTGTCTCGAAAAAACCAAAATAAATAAATAAATAAATAAAGACATGGTTAAGGCCAGAGAAAGACATCATTGCTGGCTTTGGACAAGGCGGGATCTATGTCTGGGAAAGTGGAGAATGTGGTTTCCCAGAAGGACCAGCCTTGCCAGTGCCCTGACCTAGGCTCAACGAGACTCATGCACTCTGACCTACAGAAGATCAAGAAAATGACCCTGTGTTGTTTAAGCCACTGGATCTGTAGTGATGTCATAACGGCACTTCTTGGAGTTTAAAGCCTACCCCTATCAGGGTGGGAGAGCATCTCTCACTCCTGCAGAGGACCCAAGTTGGGTTCCCAGCACACACTTCTGGTAGTTCACAACTGTCTGTAACTCCAGCTTCAGATCTGATGTCATCTTCTGGTCTCGTTGGGTTCTGTGTTTAAGTGTGTGTATGTATAATCGTGCATGCACAAATAAACTATTGTTTTGGAAACAGGGTCTCTGCATTTCTGGTTGTTCTGGAACTTCCTTGAGACCAGGTTAGCTTCAAGCTCACCGAGATCCATTTGCCTCTGCCTCTGGAGTGTTAGGATTAAAGACGGTGTACCACTACTGTCCTGCCATAAAATAAATTCTTCTTCTTCTTCTTCTTCTTCTTCTTCTTCTTCTTCTTCTTCTTCTTCTTCTTCTTCTTCTTCTTTTTTTTCAAGGCGAGGTTTCTCTGTGTAGCTTTCCCTCAAATTCAGAGATCCACCTGCATCTGCCTCACAAGTGCTAGGATCAAAGGCGTGTGCCACCACCATCCAGACATAAAACAAATCTTCCCCTCCTGGGGCCAGTGAGGAGATGGCTTAGTGGGTAACGCAGAAGAGACCTGAATGAACACCTCTGTCTGGAAGGATTGATGAGGAAAAGTCTATAGACGGACATTTGGAAAGGAAGGCGGAAAGTCGGGGAGATGAAAGGTTAGCATGCCGGATGGGCTCTCTGACCCTAACACTTGACATTTTTTACCCTCTACTCCAGGGTCTCCCCAGTTGCGCCTCGGCTCACTCGTGGAGGTCATCAGGTCTACAACAGTCTTGTTTACCCACTAAGCCATCTCCTCACTGGCCCCAGGAGGGGAATTCTCAGAGACCCAACAGCCTTTGGGAGAAAACTTGAATAGTCCCAGGGCTAGGATTTTTTAAAAAAGAAGAAGAAGAAGAAGAAGAAGAAGAAGAAGAAGAAGAAGAAGAAGAAGAAGAAGAAGAAGAAGAAGAAGAAGAAGAAGTGTGGAGGCCAGAGAATGCTTTTTCTGCCATGTGGGGGGTCCCGGAGATCAAACTCTTTGTGTCATCAGGCTTGGTGGCGGGTACCTTGCCAGTCCCCTTTCAATATATTTTGGGTATATTCCTAACAGTGGAATTTTTGTATCATATGGTAATTCTTTTTTTTTTTTCCTGAAACATGGTTTCTCTGTGGCTTTGGAGCCTGTCCTGGAACTCACTCTGTAGACCAGGCTGGTCTCGAACTCACAGAGATCCGCCTGCCTCTGCCTCCCGAGTGCTGGGGCTAAAGGGGCGTGGGCCACCACCGCCTGGCTGGTAATTCTTTGTTTAGGTTTATGAGGAGCCATCCAGACAGGGCTGCCTCTGTAGTTAACGCACACACACACACACACACACACACACACACACACGCACACATACACACACACACACACACACACACTCACGAACTAATTTTAAGAACAACTCCCTTCCTGCTCTCCTCTGCTGAGGATAATGCCACATTCCTAGGAGGTTTTTCTTGGTTTCTCTACCGTGAGCAGTCGGTCCAACTCTGGCACCCGCACTGCTGGGCTGTTGTATAGTTCTCTACCCACAATGCATTCTGTACATTGGAATGGTAGCTCTCTACCCACAATGCATTCTGTACATTGGAACGGGACATGAAGTCAAACATCTCGCTCCAGTCCCCGTGGAGTCTAGACTGGAGCCCGCTGAGTGAGTCAGACCCCAGACTTGTACTTTGAGTGACAGCACACACCACCCCAGCCCAACGTGGTGCCTGCCTGCAATCCTACCACTGAGAGTTCAATGCCTGGACGTCGTACTTCACTCCCAAGGCACAGCAAACACAAGGAGCTGACTGTGAGTCCCAGAGCACACCCTTAAAGAAGACAAAAAACTGGGTGCTCTGGATCCTCTCGCAACCCCAGTGCTGGGGAAACAGAGGCAGGAGGATCACCCAGGCTTACCAGCACCAGCCTAGACTTGTGGGCGGAGCTTCAGGCCACTGAGAGACCCTGTCTCACAAAAACGAGGTTTAGACGGTAACTGCGGGGGGGGGGCCGCTGGAGAGATGGCTCAGTGGTTAAGAGCACTGGCTGCTCTTCCAGAGGACCTGAGTTCAATTCCCAGCAACCACATGGTAGCTCACAGCCATCTACAATGAGATCTGGTTCCCTCTTCTGGCATGCAGGCATACATGCAGGTAAAATACTGTATATATAATAAGTAATATTAAACAGAATAAAAAGTACCTGCGGGATGGCACCAGAGGTTGTCCCCTGGCCTCCACATATACTGTCCATACACTGCAGGCACATGCACAAGCATGTCATACGCTTACACACATACATAAGATACATGTAAACTGCTTGAAACGGAGTTCCATCCTGGCCACACATACACCCCATACCTTCTCCTAAGTCTTGCTACATGGAGCTGTCCCAAGAGTCCCCTTGCACCGTTTGTAATTCTGTGTTTATTTTCCCCTGGAGAAGATCCCCCTGCCTCTGGGATTAGCTGACTCTACGGTGGGGGAGGGTGCCTCGCATATGATCACTTCCACCACGAGGGGGCGCTGAGGGACAGGAAAACCGCTCTGACAGCCCAGAACAAAGGTTCTGGAACTCCGGCCGCACCCCATCGAGGAACAAGGTCTCTAGGAGATCATTTCCGGTTCCAGCATCCCAATGACCAACCCTAATCTCACCAAGAGATACTGCCAGGTCCAAGTCACAAGTCCCGGAGCCTGCTCCCTCACTAGACTCTACAGGTAGCAAGGCTGGGTCCGGGTGGCCAATCAATCAAAATGCTCAGCACTCTGATGTAACGAGGTGCGTGCCGGGCAGAGGAGCAGGTGTCTGCCCGGCCAGGCCTCACTGTGCTTGTCGTGCCGGGCAGAGGAGCAGGTGTCTGCCCGGCCAGGCCTCACTGTGCTCGCTGGGCTGGAGAAAGGATACAGGATGATCTTCCCAGCAGCGACAGGCAGAGAGATACACCGACAGGGGCAGTGATGGCTAACAGTTAAAAGTGGAGAGAGCGAAACGAGGGAGAAGACTGAGGGAAACAGTGGATCGAAAAGCAGAAACAGTCGGGCGTTGGCGGCGCACGCCTTTAATCCCAGCGCTCGGGAGGCAGAGGCAGGCGGATCTCTGTGAGTTCGAGGCCAGCCTGGTCTACAGAGCGAGTTCCAGGACAGGCTCCAAAACAATACAGAGAAACCCTGTCTCGAAAAGAAAGCAAACAAACAAAAGATGTAGATAATAAAGTCAAGGAGTTGATAAGGGAAAGGATGGCGGGCGGCAGGGGCAGAGAGATGCGTCCGTGGAGGCCGGAAGTGCCTGCTGGAAGGGAGAACACACTGGGTGGCAGTTCCGGGGCCAGGGTGACTCGAGATGCCCGTGTTGGCAGACAATAGCGAGACAGAAGCCACCGTGGAGCAGCGGAGAGACGGACAGCTGTAGTGTGAGACAATGACCTGCCGGGTGGATGGGGAGAGCGGGACCGGAAGGAGTGCCCCAGGGGTCCCTGCCTGTGACAAGGACAGAGTGTGGCCGCCAGACGCCTAGGAATCTGCTCACTCTCCCAGTAGCTGGGGTAGGGAGCGCGTGCTGACAGCAGAGCCCTAAGCTGAGGGTTCTGGTCACTTCCACGGATGCTCTGGATCCGGGGGGTCGGGCCGGTGTGTCACCGCCACTTCCCGGTGGCCGGGGACTTGCTGATGGCCTCCGACCCCTCAGACACATGTCTCATTCCACTTTGGAGAAGATGAACATTGTCAAGCCCAAGGACGGAACACATTTACGACGTCTGGACGGATCCAGGGAAAGCCTGCAGGGCCTTGGAGACCTCTGCCGGCCCAGTCAGAGGGACCTGTATGGCTGACCATGGCGACACGCATCTGTAATGCCAACACTTGGGAGGGGAAGGCAGGAAGACCAGGAGCTCAAGGCAAACCTCGGCTACGTAGCGAGTTCAAGGCCAGTCTGGGAACACACACGTGCCATTTTGAAAACAAACAGCGTGGGCCACGTGGCCCAGTGGATAAAAGTGTTGCTGCCAAACCTAACAGCCTGAGTTTGATTCCGGGGAGGCCCCTGTGGTGGAAGGCCAGCTCGGCATACGCGCCCACACAAGTTCCCGGTCAAGCCCCTCACCTGTGTCTGGAAGCCTCTGAGTTCCTGCGGAGGGGACTTGAGGGTTTCTAGTGGCAGCCCAGGAAGGAGCATGTCCAGGCTGTGCTGCCACAGTGGGCCCTTTGCTCAGGTCCTCTCCTGAAGTGGGGTCCCAAGTCCAGGAGGGATAATCGTCGTCATCTGTGTAGCCTGGGGAGAGAGACTAGGTGGTATGTGTCCCTTTCTGCGACCTGAGGTCCCTGCCACTCCCTTCCCGAGTTTCCTGCAATGGCTCTACAGGGCCTCCCCACCCAGTTCCCCGGATGACGCTGCACCACCCAGTTCCCCAGATGACGCTGCTATGCTGCCCCACTCTGACCCCGCCCCCTCAGCCGCCCTCCCGCCCCCCCCCCCGCGGTACCAGTGCAGGTGAGCACCACGTCTTCCTCGTGGTCACAGTTGTGTTTTCCCCATGGCCCCGAGGGGCAGTCACTCAGGGAGGTCTCAGTCCCCTTACAGCCCATGTCATCCAGCCAGATGGGCCCGGTCCCAGGGCCGTAGTGGGTTTTGCCCACTCGGGGCCGGACCTTTCCACAGCCCAGTTCCCAGCAGGCCACCGTGGCATCCCGAAGGTCCCAGCTGTCATCACAGACTGTCCCCCACAGGCCAGCGTGCCACACCTCTAACCGGCCAGCACAACTGTTGGGCCCATCAGCCAGACGAACCCGGAAGGGACCTGGGGGGTGGGAGGCCCCCGGGTTAGGAGGTGGTAAGGGCACTGCCTCGCTGCCCCGCGGGGCCCAATCCCTTTCATTGCCGTTCCCGCCACTGCTTACCTGATGGCATCGGGGCTCCAGCAGATGGGGTGGGGGCTGGATCTCGGGATGACTCCGGGGAAGCTTCTGGGCTCTCACCAGATGGCTCCAAGGAGGCCTGAGGGGTCTGCGTGATGGTGGCCTCCGAGGTCAGGTCTTGGGGATCTTGAGGGGACTGGGATGTTGCAGTCTCTGAGGTCCACTCCCAGGGGACCCTAGGAGTCAGCTTTACAGTGGTATGTGACGTCTGTCTGCGGGGAGCCTCCGTGGTCAATCTTTTCGGTAACTCGGAGGTACGTGGGGTTAGATTTGGGGTGCTTGGGGTACCTGGGACCCTGGAGCGTTTAGTGGTTGGTATCCCGGGGGGTTGAGTGGTTGGTCTTTTTGCATTTTTAGTCACCCACTTCTTGGTACTCTTGGGTGCCTTCCCTGGAGACTTTGTGGTTTTCTCTGGCACACTGGAGGTGAGACTCGGGGAGGGCTTGGTGGCCAGCTCTCCCGGAAGCCAGGCATCCTGATCTCTACCCAGCCCAGGGAGCCAGCTCCAGCTGAAGGGGTCTGAGATGGTATCCAGGCCAGGGGTCCCTAGGAGGCCGGGAGGGAGGAAAGAGAAGATGTAGAAACCATGATGGTGGACTCATGGGTCGCTACCATGAACCGCTAACCCATATCCTCAGCCCTCTACACACACACACACACACACACACACACACACACACACACACACATCTGATGGCTCGGTGGTTAAGAGCACTGCTGGTCTTACAGAAGACCTGGGTTTGAGTCTTAGCACCCACATGGCGGCTCACAACTTTCTGTAATGCCAGTCTCAGAGAATCTGATGCCCTCTTCTGGCCGGAGGGAAAGGCATGCACTACCACTGCCCGGCCTGCCTGCCTGCCTTCCTTCCTTCCTTCCTTCCTTCCTTCCTTCCTTCCTTCCTTCCTTCCTTCCTTCCTTCCTTCCTTTCTTTTATGGACAGTGTTTTTATAGCCCAATCTAGCCTTAAACTCATAAGAACCCTCTTGTCTCAGCCTCGCAAATGCCGGTATTACAGGTATGCCTTACTACCCCTGGCTTTTCTTTTCTTTTCTTTTCTTTTCTTTTTTTTTTCTTTGTTTTTCCAAGACAGGGTTTCTCTGTATTGCTTTGGAGGTTGTCCTGGAACTCACTCTGTAGACCACGCTGGCCTCGAACTCACAGAGATCCGCCTGCCTCTGCCTCCCGAGTGCTGGGATTAAAGGCGTGCGCCACCAACGCCCGGCGTGGCTTTTTTTCATATTCATCAGCTTCAAGAGTGGCAGGAAGTCTACCAGGCCACGTGCCTGTTTCCCAACCTTCTGCGGCTCTCCCAGAAGAGAGGCCGGCAGAGCTGATGACTCCCTCCTTGGAGTCACCATTATCCATGCTCTCTCTTTCCGGTTAGGCTACATGGGCAGTCTAGGAGGAGCCATGCCCACACAAGCTGGGGTGACCCTGCCCCCACCTTCAGGAAGATGACTGGGGTTGAGAGCACTGGCTGCTCTTCCAGAGGTCCTGAGTTCAACTCCCGGCAACCACACGGCAGCTCACAACTGTCTAACTCCAGTTCCAGGGGACCCGACACCCTCACACAGACACACATGCCAGCAAAACACTAATGCAAATAAAATAAATAATCTTTTAAAAAGTACTGGCTGGGGGCTAATACTAAACCAAGAAATTCTTTGTGTGTTTGGGGACTTGAGCCACTTTAGCCTACAATGACAATGTGACTTCTGAACATCCGTGTACATGTTCAGCCACATCTATGATGTCAAGCTGACGTCAAGCTAAGACAGCATGCATGGCTGGCCATTCCTGCATGTCGTCACACACATTGCTGGGAGCATTCAGCACTGCCCCCAACCCCCCACTGGGAACTCACACCTGAATCCACGCCATGTACCTTTTCCTTTGGATGACCTTCACCGTGGTGAAACACGACCCCGACCTAACGGCCTCTCTCGGGCGTCCTTTTAGCAATGGACTGAACCTCAGTGTGGTCTCGGAGACCTCCCGAACTCTACCTCGCCACACTGGTTTGCAAGAGCTTCCTGTGTCTCTCCCTCCGTGAGTCATGGACTTCGCAAAGACCCATACTATGTTCCTTCCGTCCTGAGCACCCAGCTCCTAGCTCAGGGTTTAGCACTGGAGTTGGAGACCAGACTCCCGAAAACGGGGGAAAGAGCACTGGCTGCTCTTCCAGAGGACCTGGGTTCAACTCCCAGAGCCCACACGGCAGCTCACAACTGTTTGTAACTCCAGTTCCAGGGGATCCAACACCTCACGTAGCAAAGTTACTTAGTAAGCACTGGGCCAAGTCAAGGCACCCTTACTCTCAATTCCTTCCTCTAGGAAGCCCTTCTAGAACGAGAAGGCAGCTAACGTGTCCTCACCAGTGCAGGTAACCCCGACATCCTCATTGTGGGCACAATTGTGTTTCCCCCACGAAGCAGCAGGGCATTCTGAGAGCGAAGCCTCCGTCCCCACACAACCTACGTCATCCAGCCAGATGGGGCCCGCGCCCCAGCCGAAGTGGCCAGCCGCAGGGTCTGGTTGCCGAGGTCCCCCGCAGCCCAGCTCCCGGCACACCACAGCTGAGTCTCTCATGTCCCAGCCGTCATCACAAACCGTCCCCCAGCGGCCGTCATGCCATACCTCCAGGCGGCCAGAGCACCTGCTGGGTCCAGCCACCAGGCGCAACTGGGGAGACCCTGGAGTAGAGGGTAAAAAATGTCAAGTGTTAGGGTCAGAGCCCATCCGGCATGCTAACCTTTCATCTCCCCGACTTTCTGCCTTCCTTTCCAATTGTCCGTCTACCCACTATAGACTTTTCCTCATCAATCCTTCCAGACAGAGGTGTTCATTCAGGTCTCTTCTGCGTTAACTACAGAGGCAGCCCTGTCTGGATGGCTCCTCATAAACCTAAACAAAGAATTACCAGCCAGGCGGTGGTGGCCCACGCCCCTTTAGCCCCAGCACTCGGGAGGCAGAGGCAGGCGGATCTCTGTGAGTTCGAGACCAGCCTGGTCTACAGAGTGAGTTCCAGGACAGGCTCCAAAGCCACAGAGAAACCATGTTTCAGGATTAAAAAAAAAAAAAGAATTACCATATGATACAAAAATTCCACTGTTAGGAATATACCCAAAATATATTGAAAGGGGACTGGCAAGGTACCTGCCACCAAGCCTGATGACACAAAGAGTTTGATCTCCGGGACCCCCCACATGGCAGAAAAAGCATTCTCTGGCCTCCACACCTGTGGTATCATGACACACGTGCATACCCATACAGAGATAAACGCGACTTTTTAAAACGGAAGGGATACGTTAACATACACTTGATGTAAATGGCCATCCTAATCATGATAACTCAGAGGTGCCCCTCAGCGTGTGGGCAGCTACACAGAAGACGGCACTGATCTTTGCAGTGCACTTTGGAATGCACAGTGCAGCCCACGCTGGCCTCAAGCTCATAATCCTCCTGCCTCTACTTTGCAAGAGCTGGTATTGCAGGAATACACCACCAGAAGCAGGCCCATTGAACCAAAGGAATTGCTTTACTTTTTTAGAGTTTTTTAAATATTACACTCGCTTATTTACTTATTGTGTGTGTGCATGCGTACGCGCGCGTGCGTGCATGTGGCGTGCGTGCATGTGGCGTGCGTGCATGTGAAGGCCAGAGGAAAATGTGTGAGAGTTAGTACTCTCCTTCCACAATGTGTGTCCCAGGGATGAGATTCGGGTTGTCAGACTAGGCAGCCAGTGCCTTCACCCACTGAACCATCTTTCTGGTCCCAAGGGATTTCTTGTATGTTTCTGTGGCTGAATGCGTGTGTGTCCATGGGGAGTGTGTGTGCATTCGTGTGGAAGCCAGAGCTGGACATCACTCTCCAAGTTCTTTTTTGAGGCAGGGTCCCTCACCGAACCTGGGGTCAATGATTTGGTTCAACTGATAGGGCGGCCATCCCAAGGTGCCCTCCTCTCTCTCTCTCTCTCTCTCTCTCTCTTTCTCTGTGTGTGTGTGTGTGTGTGTCTCTCTCTCTCACACACACACACACACACACACACACTGGAGCTAGAACAAGCCCCGGAGGGGTGGGGCCTCCTGTCTCTCCCTCCCTCATACTGGAGCTAGAGCGAGCCCTGGGGCCCCTCCCGTTTCTGCTCCTCCAGCCCGGCAACCATAGGTGTGCACTGCCAAGCCACCCTTTTCCTTGGGTGCTGGGGATCTGAACTCAGGTCCTCGGGTCGCTTTACCCACTTAGCTGTCTCCCTAATCCTCGTCAGGTCAAAACAATTCTGAAGCTGCACTGTCCCTCGGGACAAGCCAGAGGACGCCCTGCTCGGGGCTGGCTGCAGAAGGTGGGACTCTGGAGCAAACACAAGCCTGGATTTTAGGAGATCGGCAGAGCATTAAAGCAAGCGTGTGTCCTCCTAAGCAGGGGCACAAGCCACCTTCCTTTATGCGAGCAGGTTCCATGGGGCAGTCTCGCAGCCAGGGCAGAAAGGGACTCACCGGCTTCGGGCCCGGGCTCTGGAGGGGCAGTAGGAGAAACAGGAGGCGGCCACCTGCCTGCTGGGCCTGGGGTCTGACCCGCTGAGGTAGACAGAATTCTGGGTACTGAGGTATTGCTGCCCGCTGCGGGGGCCGTGGGTTGCACATCGCCGAGAGGCATGCCTAGGTCAAGGCAGAAGACGTTAGTACCATCTCCCGGGGCTGCTGTCTGCACAGATGAGGCCCAAGGTTTCCACATCCCTGACCCACAGCAAGAAGTGGATGAGGATCGTGAGCAGAGAGAGCGTGAGATGGGGGGGGGGAGTTTAGACATGAGAGGGAAGAGGGGAGGCACCCCTAAACTGCCAAGATTGGCTTGGAACAAGGTCACCGCATGAAACACCAGGGAGACCAAGTCACTGCTAGTTAACTTGGACCAAGGTTTCACATAAGAATATAAGATGGGTGCTGGGTGTTGGTGGCACACACCTTTAATCCCAGCACTCGGGAGGCAGAGGCAGGAGGATCTCTGTGAGTTCGAGGCCAGCCTGGTCTACAAAGTGAGTTCCAGGACAGCCTCCAAAGCCACAGAGAAACCCTGCCTCGAAAAACCAAAAAAAAAAAAAAAAAAAGAATATAAGATGGGAGGAGGGGCCTGGAGAGACGGCTCAGAGGTTAAGAGCACTGTTTAAGCTCAGAGGTTAAGAGGTCCTGAGTTCAATTCCCAGCAACCACACCATGGCTCACAACCATTTGCAACGAGACCTGGTGCCCTCTTTCTGCCGTGCAGGGATACACGCAGGCAGAACACTGTATACATAATACATAAGTAGATCTTTAAAAAAAAAAATAAAAGAATGTAAGATGAGGACAGAGGGAAATCCACACACAGGAAGTGAAGCAGGAGCAGGGACAACTCGTCTTCCCCATGCACTCCAGGTGACCACACACCCACTGCCTCATACTCCCCACTGACGTCACTCAGACCCTTACCATCACACACGGCACCAGCATCCTCCCGATGGTGACAGTCATGCTGGCCCCAGGGCCTGGCAGGGCAGAATCGCAAGGCTGTCTCATTCCCCCGACACCTGAGATCGTCCAGGATGATGGGTCCAGCCCCCTCCCCAAAGAAGGCGCCCCCTGGGGCGGCCAGGGCGCCCCCGCAGCCCAGCTCCCTGCAGGCAACGGTGGCATCACGAAGGTCCCAAGCATCGTCACACACCGACCCCCAGCGTCCGCCGTGCCAAACCTCCAGGCGGCCAGCGCAGCCGTGGGGACCATCAGCAAGGCGCAGCCTCGGTGCAGGACCTGGATTTAGGAGGACAGCGGACAAGAGGGTGACAAAAAGTTAGGACAGACGAGGAGCTGCTGCTGAGTTATACCGAGAGGGGAAACTAGAATGCATCTGCAAGGACAGCCTTAAGGCTGTGGGAGTCTAGCACGGGCGAGCATACCAGTGCAGACCAGCCCTGCATCCTCCGTGTGGTCGCAGTTGCTCCGGCCCCAGGGGCTTCGGGGACAGTCCCGGAGGGTCTGCTCTCCTCCTCCACACCCCACATCGTCCATCCACACCGGTCCTGCACCAGGTCCGAATCTGGCACCCCCGGGGGCGGCCAGCGCTCCCCCGCATCCCAGCTCCCGACAGGCCACTGCTGCATCTCGGAGGTCCCACCCGTCATCGCACACGGTTCCCCAGCGGCTGCCATGCCAGACTTCCAGGCGGCCGGCACATCCATGGGGACCGGAGACCAGGCGCAGGCGCTCTGCGGGTTTTACAGAGAGTAAGAGAGACTGTCAAGAGGCTATGTCTAATGCCAGCTTCTCGTTTCTCCCCGTGGGGAAACGGAGGCCCAGGAGGGTCAGCGGACTGAGATTTGTCTGCCGACTGTGATTGGCGGGACCCCTGGAGGAAGGAGCAGAGCAGTTAGGGGGCGTGGCCAGCCCGGACTGAATCCTCAGGGAAGGCACTGAAAACTGGTCTCCTTGGAGGGCCACAGGCAGAATGGAGGTCTGGGATCCTCAGTTTGACTGGGCCTATGGTCTCATGGCACTCCGATCAGGAAGACAAGGGCGATTTGGAGGAGACTTACCTTGGCGGGGAGCTCCATTTGTCAGTACAGGGGCCCGCGTAGACTTGGTCTGCTTGGGTGGCCGGGGGTTCTTCTTGCGGGGGCCATTCTGGGAGTTCGCTGCTGGCTGGGGAGCTGGGGAAGTGACACGTGACCAGGAAGTCAGGATCTGAGCTATCCTGACTCCTTAGTGGCTGTCTAGGGATCTCTTGCGTGAGGGTCTGAAGTGTTTAAGGATTCCTGGGTAATGATGGACATTAGCTCGCAGGAAAACATCTACCGCAAGATGACCGTCCCCCATAGCTGAGACAGACGAGGGGCGCAGGGTGGGCGGCCTAGTCCTTTGTGCTTACTGTGAGTCACGGGGGGCTCCTCTGAGCTGGGACTCAGCTCCCCAGACAGTAGCTGCCACAGGTCCCCATCCAGCAGGGACGTTGAATCTTCTCTAGAGTTGGCTGCACGCTGACCTATGGGAGAGGAGCGAAGTTGGGAGGATGGTGATGGGGATAGGGAATTAGGCATCTCTCGGCTTCTGCAAGTACTAAGGACTTGGGGGCTCCTGGGGCCATCACCATATGAGGAGTTTGAGTCTCTTTACCTACGCAAACCACGCCTGCGTCCTCCTCATGAGAGCAGATGTGGGCTTTCCAGCCCCGGTGTGGACAGAGACCCAGCTGTCCCTCACTGCCCCGGCAGGCCAGCTCACTGAGCCACACCGGCCCGGTGCCCTCCCCGAAGAAGGCACCCCCGGGGGCGGCCAGCGCCCCTCCGCAGCCCAACACACGGCAGGCCACGGCAGCATCCCGGAGGTCCCAGCCATCGTCACACACGGTGCCCCAGCGCCCGCTGTACCAGACCTCCAGGCGTCCTGCACAGCTGTGAGGGCCATCAGCCAGGCGTAGCCGCTCTGAGGGGGTGAAGCAAAAATAAAAAAACGGTGACCCCAGACAGGAGCACTGTAGCCTGGAGCTAGGGTGACAGTCAGGTCAAGGGGCTGTCCTGCAAGGTGCCACCAGGAAGCCAGCTACCCTAGAGAGAGGACCCTGGATCCAGACTCGGGGTCCAGTGACAGGAATGTCTTATTAGAGATGCTGGGGGATGTGTGGAAGCTCAGAGTAGACCCGGGGTAGCAGGGACCAGCAGGAGAGTGACAGGTTTGGAGTGACAGGAGGCTTGGAGCTGGGTGAGGCCAAGTCGGGAGTCAGGACACTTACCAGTAGCCTGGTTCCCCACCAGTATTGCTGCAAAGGAGGTTGGAGGGGACAGAGTGAAGGGTGAGTCAAAGGGGGAGGGGTCGTTTCCCTCCCGGATCAAGTTCAGTGAGAAATATCCACTCACATCCATATCCTTCCTCACACCCCTGAGTCAGAAGCCCCACTGGGGCAACGGGCTTTGGGTGGAGGCTGGGATAAGTTACAGGTCCCTGGGCCGGGTGGGGCCCCAGATCCCTGCCCCTTGAAGACAGGGCTGGGGACCAGATTCAATGGTGGGAGTGACGCCCCCACAGTGCAAATCTCAGGGCAACAAAGGACAGGTCGCTTTGGGTTGCTAGGCAGGACACGCCAAAGGCTGGGTCCCTGAGGTATTAGAGGGGCTGGCCAGATGTCAGGAAATCCCAGAGCACCAGGGACCAGAGCTGGCTCCCTGAAGCCCGAGCCCCTAAACTGGACAAGCTAAAGGGTCAGAGGTGGAAATCCAGCCCCCTAAGGTACCTCCCCCCCCCAAAGGGAATGGGTCACTCACCAAAGAGGCAGGTCAAGACCCTCATGTTTGCAGAGTCCAGGGCAGGGGATGGGGGGGAAGGGGGAAGGAGGCAGCCAGGGAGGGAGGGAGGGAGGGCTGTGGCTGCTGAGGCGTCCTGGACAGCTAGGAACAGGCTGGGCTGAAGGCTTTGCCAGGAGCGAGAGGGGGAGGGGGCTGGCCGCAGCTGAGGCTGGAGGGGGGTGGCGGTGGGCAGGCAGAGGGAGGTGTTCAAGTACAAACACCCACACTGGAGGGAGGCAGCCAGCCAGGGTCCCTCCAGAGGGCCACGTGCTCAGAGATGCTTATGGGGATGGCAGCTCTGAGAAGGGGCAGGGTGTCTGGGGGGGACAAGGCTGAGGGCACACCCTCCTGCCTCCTATTATCCCGCCAGGGGAGTGCAGCTGGGAGTGGACAGATGGGGGGGTCTTGCAGTAGCAAGAAGGCCTGCAGCCAGACACTAGGAGGGACTTCCTAGATTGGGAAACTGAAAGGAAACAAAAAAACAAGAAAATCTCTCTCCACTTGACACCCACTCTGCTAAATGTGGATGGGAAGCTTCTAGTCCCCATCTGAGGAAGGTGTCTGAACTTAGCGGTTCCTAGAACAAGGGTATGAGAGGTAGAGACACCAAGGGGTCAAGGCTTCAGACTGGAGGGGGTGCGCGCGCGTGCGCGCGCGCGCACACACACACACACACACACACACACACACACGCACACACAGCAGACAGCTGTGACGGGGAAAAATGCAGTAATGGGGAACATGACTCAGAAAGCCTGGCAGGGACTGGGCTGCCGCTGTGAGCTCACTGCCTTCTCCCGGCACAGTGCATAGCATCTACCCTAGCAATTAATGTCAACTCGGGGGGGGGGAGCAGACGGAGGGAGGGGCGTCTGGAGGGAGCAGCTGGAAAACGCATCAGAAAAGGAGACAGGCGCACAGAAGTCTCAGACTTTATTAACAAACTGTAAAAAAAAACAGATGGGCTTGGAGACTGGACACTCAACCCCACCCACTCCCAGATGATCTGTCCCCTGGGGGGGGGTTCCCTGTCCCAGACTCTAACTCTGCCTCTCACTCTCCCCAAATATCCCTTCCAGACCTAAAACACACATAGTGGGGGCTTTGTAGAGCCAGAATCATAGCTTGGTGCTGGTTTTGTTTGTTTGTTTGTTTTGCTTTCTTTCAGCGCATACAAACTAGGGGGCAAGGAGTGGACAGGGTGACCTCTAGTGGCCCCAGAGGATCAAGAAGAGTCCCCACTGCACCTGGCAGGTCCGCTGTGGGCGTGTGAGCCCCTCAACCTCAGTGCCTCCCTGTCAGCCCAGCAGACTGGGTAGACACGGAGGAAGGGGGTCTAAAGTGCTTGGCACACAGTAGGTGCTCCTTAGATGCTGGTTCCCCGCCCATCTCCCCAGCGGGCATGGTCTATGATCACAGGTCTTTGCTGAATTCCCGAACCAGCGTGTAGCCCATGCAGCCCCAGCCTCCCTCGGCCTGGTAGCCACAGGCCTCCAACAACCCTGCCACCCCCCAGGCGGCCACAGCCACTGGGACCACGAGCCGAGCCCGAGGCTCCCCCATACTCCCAGCCCAGGCTCGAGCTCGGGACTCAGCAAAGGCCAGCAGCCTCCTGCCCACGCCCCTGCGACGGTGCCATCGAGAGACAGAGAGGCGGGTGACCCGGGCTCCGTCTCCCACGTTGGCACCAGGGGCCAGAGCCAGGACTCCACACACATCGCCCGAGCCCCGGACAGCCACCCAGGGCCCCCCCAGGCCGCCTGGCGGAGGCAGTGAGCCCCACCGGGCTCGCAGACCCAGCTTCACGGCGGCCACGGCCAGAAACACGGGCAGCAGGAGGGCCAGAGCGAAGGAGGCCAGGACGAAACGCAAGCCGCTGCTGGCTGCAGCCAGGAGGAGAAGGGCTGGCGGACGCGTCAGGGCGTGGAGGGTCACACGGTTTTCCGTGTCTTTCACACCGGCCTGTGGGTGGGGGTAGGGGCTCAGCCATTCATCTCATTGCAGCTCCCGAGGGAGACTTCCCAAGTGGGGAGAGAAGCCAGCTGATGGGCTGAGTGATTGAATGAGGTTTGGATGGATGGATCGACGCATGAATTAGGGTCTGGAGGGTAGGCACGCTAAGATAAAGCACCAGGGGAGGTGAGGCTGTGGGCTCTCCCAGGAGGGTCTGGGGGACGAGAGCGCCTCTCGTTTTGGGGGGCTGGTAAACGGGGCCGGCTGGCCGTTAGGAGGCCTGAGCATTCCGCCCCCACAGCAGCTGAGATGTAAGTAGGGAGGAGGGACTGGAGGAAAGGGAACCGTTTCAAACAGCCGAGGCCAAGAGTTCCCCCTTTGGCGGTCCCCGGGAGGGCAGGCGGGTGGGCGGGGCAGGTGGAACCCACTTTGAATGGCCCCGAGTAGCTGCGCATGCTCGCTGGTGCCCCTGCCGGCCCTCTCACCTTCAGCATCTCCAGCACCAGGGGCTTCTCATCTTCCCTCATCTCCCGCACTGACAGGTGGTTGGGGGCCATGGGAGCCCCCAGGCCGCCGCTCCCCCAGAAGGGAGCCGGCGTCGCGCACCTGCCGAAAGCAAGTAGGTCCGTGTGAGGTGGGCACCTGCGTCCTCAGAGCCCTGGGAGGGATGGGACGCGGCAGTTCCCAGGTCACCAAGGACGCCGGGGCAGCACCAAAGAGAGCTGCCCCAGGGGCAGCTCGGGCGCCCCCATGCCCAGTGGGGCTCAAGGTCTCCCCGATCTCCCCCACGCCGGGGAGGGCAGTCAGCACTGTTTGTAAACTCGCTCCTTCCCCCACACTCCAGGAGCCTGTCTCCTGCAGGGGTCCCCGCCCCGTGCAGCACCTCCACGGGGTTGCTCGAATTCTTTGACAGCAAGGGAGAGCAGGGTCAGGAAGGGGTCACCGGCGGAAGTGACGTCCACACTCCCGACTGGAGGCGGGGCCGGCGCCTTAGCAACTGTTGCCATGCTTCCCCCACCAGGGGGCTGGGGTTGGGAGTAATGGGGGAACTGCGGGGGCGAGTGAGAAGCTGTGGCCTGCCGGAGGCCGGTGGCAGAGCCATGGGGAAGGGGAAGGCGGTGGGGAGCCGAGAGGGTTTCTTACCCGGCCTGCCCGTGGACGGTTTTGCACAGCTCCTTTCTTGCCGGTCCCGTCCCTTCGTTGCTAAGCGACCTGAGCATCAGTGGGAGGTGACTTTGCTTGAGAACCTAGTCTCATTGGCGCCTGGGTCTCTGCGGTAAGGAGTGGGGGCAGTACTGAGCACCCCATCCACAGGGACCTTTATCTCAACCCGGTGGCACCTGGGGTATCGCGTTGCATCAATACTATCCCTCTACCTACCTTTCAGGGAAGGTAAAGGTGAGGCTGACTTACAGGAAAATCCGGAATTTGATTCCTCCCTGCTAAAGTGACACATGCTTGAGGAGGTGTACACACACACACACACACACACACACGCACCTTTAAAAGATGGGAAAGGAAGGACTGGAGAATTAGCTCAGGGAGTAAGAGAGCTTGCCAAATGAAGAGCCACACGGCAGGCAGACTCCCGCCAAGTCTGTGACCTCCACAGGCATATCCCTGACACACACACAATAAAACTCTTAAGACATTTAAGGGATGGGGAAACTGGGCTGCACCCTGGAGAAGCAGTTAGCCTCCGAGTACAAAGCAAGTCATCTCAGAACCGGGAGGCAAGGATGAAGACTTCCGCATCCTAGGCAGCAGCTCCGCCCACGACTATCCTCTCCCCCCAGGAAAACACCACCAAGAAGAGACTCTGTCTTTATTAGCAAGCCCAGCCAGCGGCCCCCTTGACTCTGGGACTGACCCCAGCCCAGCTGAGGAGAACAGTTAGTTGTGGGGTGTGGAGGGGGGAGTGTCTGTCTAGTGAGTCCCTTCAAAACGTGTGCACCAACTGGACCGCAGGCAGACTCTGCACGATCTGGATCGAGGGCAAGCTCTGCGGAGCCATGACCCCCGGGCCAGTCACGGCGGGGACCACTTGTACCATCTGGGAGGGGGGAGCTACAGGCACCCCCACAGGGGCAGAGGCCGGGCCAGGGGCAGGCGGGGCCAGGAGCTGCAGTGTGGCGGCGCCGCCTCCTGCAGCGCCGCTATTCTCCAGCAGATCAGTAGCCGGAGCGCTGCGAATGATGAGGAGTTTCTGTCCCGCCGGGGCGGCGGCGGCAGCTGGCTCTGTCAGCCCAGGGGAAAGGGTTTCCACCTCCTGCACACAGAGCCTGGTCTGCTCGCCATCGGCTCCACTCAGCACCAGCACGCTCTGCAGCCCCTCGTCTGTCTGCAGGGTTTCAAACAGTACATCCTGGACCACACTGGCGCTGGCCTCGCTGTCCCCCACCTCGCCGGCTCCGGGGCCAGCGAGTAACTCCTCAGCAGCCCCACTCTGAACCACCAGCAGGTTCGGAGCGTCCGCTGCCACGGCTCCTCCGTTAGAACTGGAGACTTGGCCTGTCAGGGGCTGGAGCTGGACCGTGGTCACTTCCTGCGCCGGCTGGAGCTGGACCGCGGTCACTTCCTGTGCCGGCTGGAGCTGGACCGCGGTCACTTCCTGTGCAGGCTGGAGTTGGACCGTGGTCACTTCCTGTGCTGGCTGAAGCTGAACCCCACTCACTTCCTGCGGCCCTGCCTCCCCACTCCCTACATTCTGCAGAACAATGAGGCTCTGCCCTCCGCCGCTGGCCCCCGCATTGCCCCCGCCCTGCATCCCCAGACCGCTCGGGCCTGGAAGCCACACCACCCCTGACCCCTGTCCAGCTTTCCCCACGGCCCGAGGGCTCTGTCGTGCAGCACCACTGCCCAGACCCCCAGCACTGGCGGGAGGCAGCAGGATGAGCTTGGGGGGCGGGGGCGGGGGCGTCGGGGGATGGACCCTGCTAGGGATCAGTTGGAGGCCCTGGGCAGTCTGTACCAGGAGAAACGTCTGGGAGTTGGGGACGGCCGGGGCCGGGGGCGTAGCCTGAGCTGTGGTCCCAGCTACTTCCAGGGAAAGTGTGGCCTGCAGGTGGGGGACGACGTGAACATCTTGGGCGGCCAGCGGAGTTGGCGCTGCAGCCAATGGGGCAGGGGGCTGCGGGGCGGCAGGGCCGGCGGCGCCCGAGGTTGCCGTGGCTGGCGTGTGCGTCCTCAGGTGCCGCTGCAGGTAGGCGGCCATGACGAAGCCTCGGCCGCAAATGGGGCAGGCGAAAGGGCGCTCGGCAGAATGGGTGCGCTGGTGCAGCAGCAGGTTGGAAGAGTGCGTGAAGGTCTTGGGGCAGAGCGGGCAGCGGAAAGGCCGCTCGCCCGTGTGCACGCGCTGGTGCTGCCGCAGGTTGGAAGTCTGCGCGAAGCTCTTGCCGCACACACCGCAGGAGTGGGGCCGCTCGCCCGTGTGCACGTGCCGGTGGCGCCGCAGGCACGACGTGTTCCGGAAGGCTTTGCCACACTCGCTGCAGGCGTAGGGCCGCTCGCCCGAGTGCAGCCGCAGGTGGTACTGGTAGTGGGACGACCACTTGAAGGTGAGGCCGCACTGGCCGCACGTGAAGGCCCGCAGGCCCGTGTGCACGCGCTGGTGGATGGCCAGCAGGGAGGAGCGCTTGAAGGCCTTGCCGCACTCCCCGCACTGGTAGGGCCGCTCGCCGGTGTGGTCCCGCAAGTGGTAGCGCAGCCCGGAGGAGCCCTTGAAGGCCTTGCCGCACTCGGCACATTTGTAGGGCCGCTCTGCGGAAACAGGGGCGGGAGGGGGGGGAGGCGGAGGGGCAGGGGTGGCCGGGGCGAGGGGCTCCTGGGGGCAGGTGACCTCCGCAGCCTCGGCCTGGGGGCGGCCGTCCCGCCGCCGCCTCCTCCACGTGGCACTGCTGGTGAGCCAACAGGCTGGCCAGCTGCGGGAAGGCGCCGTCACAGCTGCCACAGCGAAAGGCCTGGCCGCCGGCCGCGCCGTGGCTGTGCTGGTGGCGGGACAGGCCGGCCACGGTCCGGAAGGACTTCCCGCAAGGCAGGCAAGCGAAGTTAGGGGGGCCCGCGGTGGCGGGCGGCGGGGGCTGCGGCAGGGCGGGGTCGGCCTGGGGCAGCTCGGCAGGCGCCTCGTGGGGCTGCGCGGCCTCGGCGGGCCCCGGGCACGGCTGGTGCTCCAGGAGCAGCTCCTCGCTGCTGAAGCCCTGCTCGCAGCCGTCGCAGCGGTACACCAGCTCCACCGTGGTCTCGGCGGCAGCCAGGAAGAGCTCGGGCACTACGGGCGGCGGCGGCGGCGGCGGGGGCGGGGCTTGGGGCGCGGGCGGGCTGTGGGGCTGCAGGTAGGCATCCGAGACCAGGACCTTGGCGCTGGCTCGGCCGGTGTCCTCCGCGGGGGCGGGGGCGGGGCCGTGCGTGCGGTGGTGCAGCAGCAGGTTGGAAGAGTGCGTGAAGGTCTTGGGGCAGAGCGGGCAGCGAAACGGGCGCTCCCCGGTGTGCACCCGCTGGTGCTGGCGCAGGTTGGTACTCTGGGTGAAGCTCTTGCCGCAAATGCCGCAGGTGTAAGGGCGTTCCCCGGTATGCACGTGCCGGTGGCGCCGCAGGCTGGACGAGTTCTTAAAAGCCTTGGGGCAGTCGGGGCATGGGTAGGGCCGCTCGCCCGTGTGCTGCCGCAGGTGGTACTGGTAGTGGGACGACCACTTGAAGGCCAGGCCGCACTGGCCGCACGTGAAGGCCCGCAGGCCCGTGTGCACGCTGCGGTGGATCTGCAGCAGGGAGGAGCGCTTGAAGGCTTTGGGGCAGTCCGGGCACTGGTAAGGCCGCTCGCCCGTGTGGCCCCGCTGGTGGTAGAGCAGGGCAGAGGAACCCTTGAAGGCCTTGGGGCAGTCCGGGCATTTATAGGGCCGCTCGCCCGTGTGCGTGCGCTGATGGTGCAGGAGCCGAGATGACCACCGGAACGACTTGCCGCACTCCCCGCACTCATACTGGGCGGCAGGGGTGGGTGCTGGCGCAGTGGGGCCTGGCTTTTCCCCACTGCCCTCCGTGGCGGAAGCTGGAGCCATGTCCACGTGGGAGCCGGCCATGACACCTGCTGGGAGGATTCTGATCAGTGGGCTAGCACGAACTGTCGCCACTCACTAGCTCTTGAAGCCACACGGCAGCCTCCCTGCGTCACCCACACTGTAGGCGTTCTGCCTTGGGGCCAGAGTTTACAACAGCCTGGGGTAGCTCACATTATGACAGGCTAAGAGAAACAACGGGAACCCGGGGTGTCAACTGGTCGGCCAGCTCCTCTGGGAAGAACCAATGAGGTCCAGGGAGAGGTCTCTAATGGACACTGCCTTCAGGAGGCACTGGTTCCCTCTGAGGAAGTCTGACTTCGCTTCCGGCCGTGGTGGGAAGAGCTAACCCCTCCCTTTCTCCATCTCAACGCCTGTCCCCACCCAACAGACCCTCAACAGTCTGACTCAGTGACCCGAGCCTCGAACATCCCATCCCACCACACACTGCCCCCACTCCCTCGTGGGTCCCCAAATCAGTGATGGCTTCCCGTTCCCACAGGATCTACAGTGCCCACGTTACTCCTGCCCTCACGCCATGACTGCCCATGTTACCTCCTGCCCTCACGCCATGACTACACCTGTTACCTCCTGCCCTTAAGCCATGACTACACCTGTTACCTCCTGCCCTCATGCATGACTACACATGTTACCTCCTGCCCTCACACCATGACTACACATGTTACCTCCTGCCCTCATGCATGACTACACATGTTACTCCTGCCCTCACGCCATGACTACACATGTTACCTCCTGCCCTTAAGCCATGACTACACATGTTACCTCCTGCCCTCACGCCATGACTACACATGTTACTCCTGCCCTCAAGCCATGACTACACATGTTACCTCCTGCCCTCACACCATGACTACACATGTTACCTCCTGCCCTCACACCATGACTACACATGTTACCTCCTGCCCTCACGCCATGACTACATACACGTTACTCCTGTCCTCATGCATGACTACACATGTTACCTCCTGCCCTCATGCATGACTACACATGTTACTCCTGCCCTCATGCATGACTACACATGTTACTCCTGCCCTCACGCCATGACTACACATGTTACTCCTGCCCTCATGCATGACTACACACACGTTACTCCTGCCCTCATGCATGACTACACATGTTACTCCTGCCCTCACGCCATGACTACCAGCACTACCTGGCCTGTGCATTCCTCGCTGGCACACCCTGGACTTGCCTGCCTATGTCACTGTGCACACATTCGAGCACTCAATTCTCAACACTGCCCGTGCTCCTCAGCAAACGCGGCGCTTTCTCTGGCCCCTACCCGCCCTGGGTGGTAACCCTTGGCATGTCTCTTCCCCCTGACATCCTCCTGCTCCCCTGTTCCTAGCAGTGACCTTGAGCCCATCGTGCACTGCAGTGACCGGAAAAAGAAAATCGAGCAGAGTAGAATGTCCTCATGCTCCGATCACTGAACCAGTGGTTCCCAGCTGGGCCAACTGTCTTCCCGATCAGGGGACATCTTGTGATGCTTGGGGGTGCTCACTGTTGCTTGTTTGTAAAGTGCTGGGGACAGAGGTGCTTTTCAATACTCTGCAGTGCACAGGACGAACCCCCCCGCCCCCCGCAAAGATCCAGTCTAAAACAGCAGCACCACAAGGCTGAGGAATGGTAGGATCTCTCTCTGTCTCACACACACACACACACATACACACACACACACACTCATGATTCCCTGCGCCATGGCCTCTGACCTCCTGTAGCATCCTCCAGTTTGACCACTCCCAGCAGCAAACACACAGGCCAAGAGGGTCAACCTGTTCTTCCTCTGACTGGCTTCTGTCACCTGTCGCCCCCACGCGCCAGTCCCTTGCTGCTGACTCCTTCCTTTAGGAATATTTCCTAGTCAGATGGCTGACTCTAACCCTGTCACCGTCTCGGCCTTGGGGCAGGGTCTACACCTGGAGGGCGAGTTAGATCGCAGTCGGGAATGGCTGTCTTTCCATCTGCCCCTCTCTCTGGAAGCCCTCACCCCCTCTTAGGACTGCACGAACTGCAAATAAAGGACTCCAAAACCCACGGCTCTCCTTTGCCCCACAAGCTTCGTGCCCCTGTGCCTACGACAGCCCACACTTAATCAAACTCTAACTCCAGGGTTTGTTTTTCCTTCTACGCCCTCCTATGGAAGGAATATCTAAGAGCAGCCCTGGAGACATAACAAACACAGAACCCTGCATCTGGACCCATACACTAGGTTGTGCACACAGGAGATGGAGACCAGCCTGGGTAGCAGTCATAACTACATGAAAACAGAAGACAAACCCCTCACAGCAGCAGCCTGCTAAGTGTTCACGACAAACTTCTCCCCCCTGTCTCTCCAGCCCGTTAACCAGGCAGGGAGAGCTGACCCCTCCCCACGTTGGGGGCCCCAGGGGTCCCATCTGCTATGCCCTGCCTTCCACCATCCACAATCCCCCGTCTCTGAAATCACCCGAGAGACCCCGCCTCAGACCACCCCACTCCATCCCTTCAGCACGCCCTGCTCTCTTCGGACACCTCGAGTGGTCCCCTCCTCAGGGGGCTCACCATCTTTCAGGGGCTACCCAGTCAGGATTCCTCAACCTCAGCAGCAGAGAGATTTGAGGATGGGTCCCCCTCCGGTCAGAGGGGCTGGGCCCACACATCGTCGGGTGCCTGGCAGGGTCCCCGACCTGTCAACCCGATGGATGCCACCGGCAACAAAAACCACCACCGGCTTGACCCTTCCGTGGTGAATCCTGAGTCCCCGCTACAGCGTGTCCCCCTCAAGGAGAGTCCCATCCAGATTCAGCCCTCTAGCTGCCTGTTCTGTTCTAATGTTCACCCCATGTAAACAGGAAGCCCCTTTCTGGGCCACTGTTTCTGACAGGCTATGGAAGACTTCTGTTGTTAAACGACACGCGTCTCTCATTGCCATGTAAGCGACCAACGAGCTGAAGAAGCTACGTGTGTCTCTGGGGTCAGGCCACATCTTTTAACACGAGAAGCCCAAGGGGACAGGGACCCAGCTTCTCAGTGAGTCCCCTTTAAAAGGCTGGGCTGTGATGCTCTGGGGGGGCTTGGGATGCAGCTGGGTTGTTAGTTAATGACTAGCATGCTCGGAGCTCTGGAATCTATTTCCAGTACAGCGCAAAAGCAGGCATGGTGGCCCAGGCCTGCAATCCCTGCACGTAGAAGGTGGGGGGGAGGCAGGAGGGCCATAAATCCAAGGTCATCCTCGGCTATGCAGTAAGTCTGAGGGCATCCTGAGCTACATGAGGCTTCGAAAGGAAAAAAAAAAGGGGTTAAAATACCCGTCCCTGCCTTTGCTCAGTCAGACAGGGACCAGCAGGATTGTGAAATCTCCCCTCCAATGTCTGGGAAACTGTCACCCGCTCTTAAGGAAACAAACCTCTTTTAAAAAGAAAGGAGAGGCCAAAAAAAAAAGAAAAAGAAAAAGAAAAGAGCTTTGCAAAAAACCGCATCGCTAAGCACAGCGCCCTTCCCCTTTAAGAGGGCGGAGCCGGTCTAAGAGATTCAAACTCGGAGGCCAAACAGCGACCATCCCTTTAAGACGCCCCTTCCGGTTTCCCGCTCGCCGTTTCCCCGACGACTCCGCCCTCCGGCCCTCCCCTCCCCCCACGCCCGCCCCCCGCCGCGCCCTCCGGGTCTCTCACCTGCGGCCCCGGTCTGGGGGGGGACGGGGGGATCCAGGGGAGCCCCAGGGCCTCCCCGCGGGGGCCGACGGGAAGCGGGGCCCGGCACGGCGCCGGCTGCGGGAGCCGCGGCCCGGGAGGGGGCGGGGGCGCGCTCCCTCCCCACGGCCCCCGGCGCGCGGCACTCAACCTTTAGCGGCGGCCTCCCGAGCGCACACAAACCCCGCCGCCGCCGCCGCCGCCGCCGTCGTGCGTCGTGACGCCACGCGCCGCGCCCGCCCGGCCCCGCCCACCGCCGGGCGCTCCAGGTGCGCACAGTGCTTCCCCCGGGGCGGGGAGGGGGGATCCTGGCCTGGGGCGCGCGTGGGGGGCTCAGCCCCGGCTCCCGCGGGCGGGAAACTGAGGCAGCAGCCTCCCCGCGGGGCCTGGGGCTCGCGGGGCGTCCGGGGTGCCGCCCCCCACGAGCCTGCTTTGCTTCCCCCTGCCTGCTGGCCTCCGGGATGTGGCTCACGATGGCTTTCGCGGCCAGGGCACGTGCGGCATTGGGACAGATTCTTTTTTTTTTTATTGTCGTTATTATTATCTTTTTGGAGGCCGCGGGCTCATGTAGGTTCCCCAGGATGCATCCCAGGCTGGTCCTGAATTCATAATCCTACTCCTCCAGCTCCCCAGAGCTGGGATTGCATTGCAAGCGCGCGTTCCTGCGTACTCACTTGAGATGAGTTGGGGCTGCGGTTGGTTGGTTTTCGTGGGAGTTTTCCTGTGCGTTGTGCTGTGGCCAGCCGAGCTTCAGTCTGCGCCCACGAGTCACCCGTGGAACTGCCCTATGCAAGCACACACCTGATGACAAACCCAGTTCCTCGAGATGCTTCAGAAATCCACTAGTTGAAATCCAGTACCGCAAGTCAAACACTCCTGGACTGTGAACCTCACACACACACCACCAGCACCATGCTGGACTCTTGTTTCCTAATCCTCCTGCCTCTGTCTCCCAGATGCCGGGATTACAGGGGTGCACCGGCACAACGGGTTCCAACAGTCTATTCTCTGTGCTTACTCAAAAGACTCTTTTATCTCTAATCCACCTCTGCCTAGCTCTTGCTGGGAAAAGCCATGACAACATAGCTCCACACTGCCCTTGTCAGCAGTTCAGGCAGTTCCCCTGGACCAGTGGTTCTAAGTTTTCCTAACGCTACACCCTTTAATACAGTTCCTTGTATTATTGTGAACTCCAGCCATAAAATTATTTCGTTGCTGTTTCATGACTGTTGCGGCGCCTGAACCACAAGCAACTCCAAGGTATCAGGAAAAGAAAGACACGACGTCCAGTTGTTTGTACTAAGAGAATGCATGTGCTGCCTTTATTGCCAGGAGAGTGTGTGTGTGTGTCTTCATTGCAAGTGCTAAGAGGTCTCTCTCTTGTAGGAGGGAGGATCTTTATATACAGGTTTACAGCACAGTGGAAAAAACCCAGGTAAAAGAGATAGTTGTTTTCCTCCTGCTAGATGTTGATGTCAGAGGGTCAAGGCCAGGGCAGGAAGCCAGGACTAGAAAGCAGGATAGACTTATACCCTCTGGGGGCTGGGGCCCAACATCTCTCCCCTTCTTTTTTTTTTTTTTTGTTTGTTTGTTTGTTTTTCGAGACAGGGTTTCTCTGTGGCTTTGGAGGCTGTCCTGGAACTCATTCTGTAGACCAGGCTGGCCTCGAACTCACAGAGATCCGCCTGCCTCTGCCTCCCGAGTGCTGGGATTAAAGGCGTGCGCCACCACCGCCCGGCCATTTAATATACTTTTATCTTTTCCTTTTCTTTTACTTAATACCAGTACCTCGTTTACTAACTGTTACCAATTTTCAATTCACCCACTTTTAATCCATCCTCCAACTGAGAATGATCCCTCAAGCAAAAGCCTGAAGATTTACTCAATCCACCCTCCAACTGAGGGCAATCTCTCAGGTTCCCCTTTCTTTCCCAATCTTTCCAGGTCTCTCTGAATCTCGGTGGGACTTCCAATTGCGGCACCTGAACCACAAGCAACTCCAAGGTATCAGGAAAAGAAATACAAGACATCCAGCTGTTTGTACTAAGAGAATGCATGTGCTGCCTTGATTACCAAGAGAATGTGTATGTGTGTGTCTTCATTGCAAGTGCTAAGAGCTCTCTCCTGTAGGAGGGAGGAGCTTTATATACAGGTTTACAGCACAGTGGCCCAACAACTGTAATTTTGCTACAGTTAGGAAATGCAATGTAATATCTGACATGCAGGCTGTCTGATATGTGACCCCTTTGGGGTTGCAGCCCATAAATTGAGAACTGGCACCCTAGACTTTTAGCGACCTCGACTTAGGTCAAACTACAGATGTGCCTCGGAGTCTGTAAGAAATTTCACAGCTAGCCGGTGTGTGGCACACGCCTTTAATCCCTGCAGGCAGATCTCTGTGAGTTTAAAACCAGCCTGGTCTACAAGAGCTAGTTCCAGGACAGCCTCTATAGCCACAGAGACACCCTGTCTTGGGAAAAAAAACAGATTTGGTGACTTTGTTAAAAGATATTTTAAGCCGGGCGTTGGTGGCGCACCCCTTTAATCCCATCACTTGGGAGGCAGAGGCAGGCGGATCTCTGTGAGTTCGAGGCCAGCCGGCTCTACAAGATCTAGTTCCAGGACAGCCTCCAAAGCCACAGAGAAACCCTGTCTCGAAAAACCAAAAAAAAAAAAAGGTATTTTAACATAGGTTTAAACACAAGGCTTAAGCTGGGTGGTGGTGGCACACACCATTAATCCCAGGGTCTCTATGAGTTCAAGACCAGCCTGGTCTACAAAGTGAGTGCCAGGACAGCCAGGGCTACACAAAGAAACCCTGTCTTGAAAAACAAAAGAAAGAGTCTCAGAAGAAAGACATCCAACACAGATATGAGTTTCTCAAGGAAGAGTGTGGGGCGGGGAAATAAGCTACACTCAAGTGTAGGTCCAGGCTCCTAGGGGAGAGTAATTGTCTTAGCCACAAAGGCCATTTTGTTGACTTAGGTTGCATCTCAAGAAATTGCTAAGGAAGCACTCCCTTAATTCCTGGGTAAGGTGAACAAATTCTTTTAAGATTTGTTTTTGGTTTTTGTTTTGTTTTGTTTTGTTTTTTGGTTTTTTCGAGACAGGGTTTCTCTGTATTGTCTTGGAGGCTGTCCTGGAACTAGATCTTGTAGACCAGGCTGGCCTCGAACTCACAGAGATCCTCCTGCCTCTGCCTCCCGAGTGCTGGGATTAAAGGTGTGTGCCACCACCACCTGGCCAAGATTTGTTTGTTTTTAAAGATCTATTTATTTTTATATTCTGTGTATGTGTGAGTGCCTACATGCATGTCCATACACCACATGTGTACCTGGTGTCTGAGGAAACCAAAGGAGAGTGTCAAATCCCCTGCAGCTAGAGCGACAGGCAGTTGTGAGCTGTCTGGTGCGGTCTTAAGAACTAAAGCCCCATCCTCTGTAAAACCAGCAACTGCTCTTAACTGCCAAGCCATCTCTCCAGCCCTACAGTAGCAGTCCTAGCTAAAAGAATGCCATGCAGAGGGCTGGTGAGACCACGTGGCAGGTACCGACCCTTGCCACCCAGTGTGATGACTAAATTCAGGTCACATCCCCATGGCGGAAGGGGAGAACCAACTCCCCCAAGCTGTCCTATGACCTGTGCCCATGCTGTACACACACACACACACACACACAAAGTAAATAAATTTAGGGTTTTTTTTTTTCATTTTATTTAGAGTGTGTGTGCACACGTATGCCATGATAGATTTGGCAGTCACAAAACCACCTTTATTAATCAGTTCTTGCCTTTCATTATCTCAGGGATTGAACTGAGGTTTTTAGACTTAGTGGCAAGCACTTTTACACACTGAGCCATCTGGAGGACCAGTAACTGAAAAAAAAATTAAGAGGGCTGGAGAGGTAGTTCAGTGTTTGAGAACACTGGCTGCTCTTCCGAGAATGTCTCACAATTGTCTGTAACTCCAGTTCCAAGGGACCTGATGCCCTCTTCTGGCCTCCAGAGACGCCAGGCACATGGGCACAGACACAAATCCAGGGAAAGCACCCATACACATGAAAATAAATAAATATTTTTAAGTTTAAAGTCTCATCCAAGATTCAAGGCAAGCCCTTAGCTGGGAACCCCTGTAAAGTCAAAGAGAAAGTTCCCCGATTCCGATATACAAAGACAAAGCAGACACTCCCATTCCTAAATGAAAGAGTAGAAAGATGAGGACCAAAAAAAGGGGAGGGGCAAAGCAACAAGGCAAACTTAAGATCCTGTACCGCTTCTGGCAGCATGGGGCACATGATATCATGCGGGCTTTGATGCAATATCCATGGCCTCAGCCTAGGCTTGGTCCTCTCCATGCCACTGTCTGTATCGATCATTCTACATTCTTGGTCTCTTCAACATCCTCAGGTCTCCAGCACAACTTAAACTTTACTTCATGCATTGTTCACTCAAGATCTTCCGGTGGGAGCCATGTCTTGCTGCACATTACCTAGTCATCCAGGCTCTCTCCACCTCTATCCAGCCTGGTCCCATAACTCTTCAGTCCCAAATAAACACATAGAGGCTTATATTAATTATAAACTGAGTGATGGCTCAGGCCTCTTATTAGCTACTTTCTCTCTGTCTCTCTCTCTCCCTCCCTCCCTCTCTCCCTCTCTTTCTCTCTCTCTCTCTCTCTCTCTCTCCCTCTCTCCTCTCTTTCTCTGGTTTATCGAGACAGGGTTTCTCTGTATTGTTTTGGAGGCTGTCCTAGAACTCCCACTTGTAGACCAGGCTGGCCTCGAACTCACAGAGATCCACCTACCTCTGCCTCCCGAGTGCAGGGATTAAAGGCGTCCGCCACCAACGCCTGGCTGGCTACTTCTCTCTTAACTATTAACCCATTTCTATTAATCCGTGTATCGCTACATAGTCTTGGCTTATCAGTGATGTCCAGGCTCTTGCTTTCTCAGCAGCTACATGGAGTCCCTCTTGACTCTCTCTGCCTTCCTCTTCCCCAAATTCTCCTAGTCTGGTAGCCCCGCCTATAGTTCCTGCCTGGCTACATCCTGCCTGTCCATTGGCCAAAACAGCTTTACTCATCAACCAATAAGAGAAACATATACTCACAGCATACAGAAGGACATCCCCTATCACACCTTAGTGCAAGCCCCAAGACCCAATAAGGGTTCCATTGTGTAGGCCTATGCAACCAGGTTCTGCTACCCCGAGAGGGAGCTGGGCTTCTGTCACCACAGCGGTAGTGGCCTCTGACGGCCCCCATGACTAAACCTGGGAGAGTTTCCCTAAACAACTCTTTCTCCGGAAGAGCGCCCGGTCAGCTTCACAGCATCATGCAGAGGGCCAGAGAAGAGCCTGGGACAGCAGGCCGTGTGTGGCAGGGGCAGACTGCCTTCATGGAGCCCTTGAGTGGGCAACCTGTGAGGCAATGGAGGGAAGCCCAGGTTGAGGTGGACACCAGGCCGTTGAGGATGTCCTTGGAAGGACAGATGCGCTGTTTTCTCAAGGGAAAGTCTGTCACAAGAACTCGCCTTTTTATACCTGGTACCACTCTGAGCAGGTAAAACAAGGGTTACAGGATTAGCAGCACCATGACACTGGCCCAGTCCTTCTGGTAACTGAGACAGTTACCAAGCCATTAACGGGGGGGTGGGGTGGGGTGGGGGGTGTCTTTACAGCATGGATACACTAGACCAAGAACTTGTTTCAAAACAGTGAGGAGTTGGATGGTATAAGAGTTTGGTGGCCCCAGCCTTTAATCCCAGCACTCAGGAGGCAGAGGCAGGGGGGATCTCTGTAAGTTTGAAGCCAATCTGGTCTACAGAGCAAGTTCCAGGACAGCCTCTAAAACAATACAGAGAAACCCTGTCTCGAAAAAACAAACAAACAAACAACAAAAAAGTTCATCACACCATTCAGAATGTCACGCAGATGAAAATGAATGCTTTATTTCTGGACTTATTCCATGTGCTATTTAAAGACCAAGATTGTCTGTATGTGACTATAACTAGAAGGAAGATCTCACATTATGTGGTAGGTGAGGGGATACCCAACCTCACCCACTGACATTATCTGGTGGGCTCTGAATACCACTGGTTTTCCATTTCACTCCATGATCCCATGAACTATTTCTTTTCCTGTCTTTTTTTCTTTTTTCTGAGACAGGGTTTCTCTGTATTGTTTTGGAAGCTGTCATGGAACTTGCTCTGTAGACCAGGTTGGCCTCGAACTCACAGAGATTTGCCTGCCTCTGCCTCCCACGT